ACATATACGTTTCATAACCGCAGTTCATACATATGTTTCATAACTTAGGTATATTGAGACGATTTTGGGAATTTCGTGGCATTCATAATTTTTTGAAAACATCTGAGGTAGGACTATTTCTAAAATATGGAAAAAAAAATTCAAATTCTGAATATTTTCTATGCTTCCATGTTGTCATGTCCGCCAGTTGCAACCTGGAGAGCCAGGTGGCTAGAAGATAATTTTTTTGATGAAATAAATAGCAGCATCCGTATGAAGTAATATCGCCAAGAAAGAATTTAAACTACTCTTCCACTGCTATTTCAGTGAAATTAATAGCAGCTATCTATCTGTTGAGACGAAACGCTTTCAGAATTTTCTTTTCTCATTTCTAAGTAAAGAATCAAACCTTCGTAATCATTTCAAAGCTTCCAGTCCAGTAAAACAAAATGAAAATATTATCTTATTTTTCACCAAGGTTGATAGCTTGTCTGAACGAAAACCTCGTATGTCGTATGAAATAATCGTCATTAATGTACTGTGGGATAAACTGTGAAGGGAATTAAGCTGGAGAAGAGTGAGGAATATTTTTCTACCTCATGGTAAATAAGGATCACTTCATTTTTTATTGTTGTGTCAGCCTGGTCGACTTTATTTGCATGGATTATATAAAATGGGTTTAAAAACGCATGCACGATGACGCTAAAAATTCATCCCAAGCCTTGAATGACTTCATTTTTTTCTACCTTGTTGTTTTGGTTAGGTATTTCTCATCTTAGTGTTGGAAAGTGTGGGGAAAACTTTTCGTCATGAACTCGAGACCTGAGAGAAGGATTAGGTTTCATTAAGTAAACGTACATATGGCTAAAATAGAATAGAGAAGTTAAAATACACCCTTACAAGCTGACGAAAGATTTCGTCGAGACTTATTTTCATGGACTAATGGGGGAGAGGGGGAAGATTTTGGGATCACAAGATTTTCTTGGAGGAACGGAAGGGAGGGGGTCAGTCGTCGCCAACAGAGTTTAAAGGGGGTGGCATAAAAATTGACTGCTTATTAACTGGTCATGAAAGAATATCACAAAGCCTTAGGGAGGAATCAAGTAACTTCCTCTCTACCCTCCCCAGGTAATAAATAATGACCTGTCCCTTGAGATAGACTGTCTTATGTTCAGCGCAGACTTAGTCTGCTGAATAGCTTCATCAAACCCCATTGAACTTTCCCATATCCACTTGGCTTCCGAGTCGATACTTGAAATATTTCCCCAGAGAATGCCACCTTGTTCTGCGGTGTTGGGAATCGTCTCCAAGATTGAACCAACACACTCACATAAATCCCAATTTCTTCTCGTTTATTATCAATAACCGAACGCTAACAACGAAATCAACAACAACTCTCCTCGCTCTCCCTGTTGAAAAGTCTCCTCCCCGCTCACGTGTTCTGCTACATCTTTTATCACTGTCAATCATTGGTTTTGGGTGTGTCATTTGACACTTTCTCAAGTCACATTGTTTATGATCAAACATAGCGAAAATCACGCTAAGGGTTAAAAATGACTAATGATCACAATATCACGCACAATTTCCGACAGCGGCCACCACGGCTGCGGACCAATGACTGTCGTCAAAACCCGGGGAAGCCCATCCGGGAAACCATAAATGACTGCATTTCCAGCTTTCGTTAGTCACCAGGCCGTTGCTTAATGAACCAAGTATTCCAGGATTATAAGATTGACCCATTCCCCTAACTGACACAACCTTTGTAAATCTGGGATAAAAAACTTTTTAACCTTTTTCTCGTCACAATTTTGTTTCCCCAGGTTTACACCATCAGCGAACATTTCCATATTATTATCGCAAGTGAAAGAGGCAGTCAAGTCTAAAATAGCAAAAGTATTCAGTAATAATCAGAAAAGCCTAATATTTTTTTTAAGAAAAACATCACGGTCTTGTTATGTTTCTGTCTAGGACACTGCCTGCGGAAATTTTTTCTTGTCTGCAACAGCTCTTTGTTGGCCAGTTTGTTTGTTTTTGTTTATGCAAAGATTGTTTCAAATGTTTTCAATCTCCCCCCTCGAGAACGTACATCTTCACCTTACAATGTGAATCAAGAGTTTATAATCTCTTTGCATGACTATGGTGCACTACCTAGCTATTTAAACGAGCATATTTCGATCAACAACTCAAGACATTCAAGAACTACGCGCTATTCAAACTTTAATGTACTGTGCCCCAGATATAACAGGGAAACTGAAGGTGGGCGCACCTTTCTCGTCACCGGAACCAAAATTTGGAACGAGTTACCACTACGCATACGGATGGCGGACAGCATAAGGTGCTTCAAGCACAATATGTGGACTAATATTTTTTCGCAGCAACAATTTTTAAGTCATTTTTGTGTATAGTTTCCTTTTTTTCATTCTTACTAGTTATATTGAATATATTCATACATTTTATTAGTTTCTTTACTTATCTTGTAATTATATTATATTATATTAGTTTCTATTTTCATATTGTATTATACTAGTTTTTATATTGTAATTATTTATTGAGTGAGGGCCACAAGTTTATTAGCTATGCTATTATGTGTTACCCTCGTAAAATAAAGTCTTTATTATTATTATTATTATTATTACTACATTAATTACCATCGAACAGAAGCAGGCAATGGACAAACTTTTCAGTATGCCAATTCTTTCAGCAAATTTACGATTGTAATAGAAATAAGTGGAGTCCACTTCGGTCTGTAATCATGCCAGTAATGACAAAATCGGACGACGGAATTGGACGACACGATGTCCTATCAGCAATTGATAAAAATGATGGCGACGGTGATGTAGATAAGTCAAAAAATTTATTCACAAGGGTAAAAATATCTTACATTCTCATGCGTGTCGTGAATATAGTAGGCTTGATGGTCAATTTTGAGTTCTCTGTTCGAATAAAACTATTCAATTTATCACAAGCTCTTAAGCCTTAAATGCAATGGCTTCTCACCTTTGTTTCGTTTTTTGTGCAGTAACCTCGCCTGCAAATTAAAGGAGATAGTTAGGAGAATTTATTCATTCCTTATTGTCCACATGTCAAAATTCCTTCATTTTGCAACATTTTTAGGGCCAGCATTCTTTACAGGCAACCTATTTAGGCTAATTAAAATGTTCCTTGCTCCGTATTTGTGTGTTCACAGCTCACTTCAGTGACGCTGAAAAGACATCTACTGGAAATTAGTTCAGACCTCATCGAATTTTTTCTTTGATTGACTGCTACTAGAATGTCGAGCCAACAGATACCATCTCCATTACTGAGAATCAATAAGCTGCATAAAAGTACACATGAATTATTAGAACCGATAAACTAATCTGTTTTACGACTAAAGGAAAAGAGATATTGAACCGCTTGTAAATTCGCCAATTGCCGGAGAGCAATGTAAGCATTTCGTGAAAGATCCATCCAGAATTCTTGATAAGGTTTTCTTCAGCATCACAGCGATCTACCAAACCTCACTCGTGGAGCTCACAGATATTCCCGAGCAGGTAAAAATTGTGCGAGATGCAATTTGTGAATTTTTGACACTCTTCAAGACAGTGAAGCCAATTGATGCCATAGAGAGTTTTAACCACATGTCCGATGAATAGACTGTTTTGGACTCTGAAATGACCACACGAGCTCCCTCTACAGGAAGTCGCCAGGAGCATCAACGGAAATAGGCAACGCAAGAATTACATGGGGGTAAAAGATCACGGGGCAGATTTGGAAATGAATTTTGAAAAGGCAAAGTATATTGCCGCTTGGACTCCTGGCAATTAAAAAGACGGTTTGGTTACTAAAATTGATGGTCAACATTTACTGCAGATTCCCCACATTTATTAACATGTAACAGTGCGCTTTTCCTTGAGTGAAGATGTCTCTTTTAAGTGTTAATAAATGTAATTAGGCAAAGCAATTTCGTAATTATAATTATGGAAGAGCACAAAAATTAAGGACATCGGTTTTGTTAAACAACAGGTAAATCTCGTCTAAATAATCAGACTAATACTTTTCTATTTCTTTGCCTTAAACTACGAAACTTAAAATTCTCTGATATGCATTTCTCAGAGCCGTAAATGTTATTCTAATTATGTAAACAAATGTATGTATGGAGAAATCAAGAAGAAAAAAACTAAATTGACGTTCCTTTTGCACAAATTGTTCCGGAAGTGAGTTAAAATATTTTTAAATAATTAAATTCAATTCTTTGAAATCCTTTTAATATTTTTTTAAATTTCTTTTTTTAAGTAACATTTCCTAAAAATAAAAATGGTCAGATTTAAGATTGTAGCATTGAGTTGAGCCGAATAAAATATGAAAAAGTAAATTGAATCGATCAGTTAATGATCTGTTTATCTGGTTTTTAGATCAACAACCGCGTAAATGAATGATAAAGAAGAATTATTTTGGTGTGTGGAGGGTTATGGTTCCTAATCATGGCGATGTGTAATTAATAATTCATTTTAGGACTCTGAGAGAAACAATCAGGGTGTATCATTTAAGAATCATTTGTTCCAAGAATAAATTAGAGGACGTTTCTTTAAAGCAAACAACGGGGGCAGCCAAAGACAAAATATACTGGTCTTTCTGTTCCACGCCGAATATTTAGAGACCTCTGCTCCTTTTGCGAGTCGGAAAAAATCAACACAAACAGAACAAAGTTAAATAAAAATACCAAAACAAAGCAAAAACGTAGCGAAGCAAAACGAACAAAAAAGGCAAAGTATCAAATCCGATAAAATGCATTTTGAGGTAACTAATCAACTTTAAGCAATTTAGACAGCCAAGGTGTATGGTGAGACTAGTAATAATGCAGTATGTACCAAAGGGTTAAAAGTTGGCAAGGTAAACAAAAGTACCGCAGATTTGCGGACAGCTAAGTATGGTTAATTAATTTGAAAGGAAAAACTATTCAGGTTGTGCAAACAAAATGAAAAGATAATTCAAAATATGCATGCCTTTGTAGATAAGATTTAAAGATATTACGGTTTTGACACGCTTTAAAGTTCAGAAATCAAGCAAAGCAGATTATCGTAGGACTGAACTAACAACAAAGGGTTCGAACGACGAATATTCAGCCAGGGAATCAACGTCATTCTCCAGAGATTGGAAGAAAGTTAAGCTGAATTGTACGTTCCGCATGTTAAAATTCTGTGAACGAATTCCAATGGCTCCTGTGTCTAAAAATACCACTAAACTTGACGCGGCTCCGTCTCGAGGTAAAACATCCGTTTCTTTGCATTTTCTTCTTTCCACCGTTCTCGTAACAGACGATATTAAAGTTAATTGCAATAGCAATGGTAAAATAGAAGAGCTTTTTTTTTCTATTCAGCTTCGAAAAGTTAGCTGTCCTTGAAAGAAACAGGCGGTAAAATTGATGGAATGCATGTATTGAGCTTTTCGACAGCTGTCGAATAAACTTAAATTGTTACAGTCTAATAAACCATGATTTATGAAAACGGTCAATATCAAAGGCCGCAGCCCCTCCCCCGTAAAACGAGAATTGGGAGGAATAGGGAGACCCCCCGCCCACGTTATGTTGCATACAATATACAGGGCATAAAATTAGTGTGGCAAAATTTTGAGGCTTTGATTTTTTGCACAAATCGTTTAATCAGAATCGCACTTTGCGAAAAGATGTCACATGATGTATGGATACACTTACCATTATTGACATTTCAGCGGAGAGGCTTTCCTAAGCCGACGAACTAATTAGAACAAATGAGAGTAGGGTTTAGGCTTAACTCGTTATAGGATGAGTGCCCCTGATTTCAAAACGCTATGTTCCCTCTATCTTAAGGTAAAAGGATAAGGTTATTTTGGTGGATTTTCCACTAAGGAAGTGCAACTGCTTTCCTCTCAATTAGGTAACACTGCACAAATAAAGGAGTTTGCGGAGACTACTATAACTATTGAGAAAGAAACTACGGGACTTGGTTTGGGAGTCGTTGGTGGATCCGACACATATCTGGTATGAGACAGATTTATCAGAGGGAGTTAATAGTTACTACCTGTTTGTATTCTGTTTCAGCTGTAATTCAGCAGGCTTGCTTTCGTTACAACTATGTCCAATGTAAAGGTTATGTTTTTATTTATTTATTTATTTATTATTTATTTATTACAATTTAATGGCTCAGATACAACAAATAAAGTTATAAAGTAAAAGCGAAGAGAAAAGAAACGCCATATGGATAATCCGTAAAATGAAAATTCATTTTTAGAAAAAAAGTTTTCATTTATTATCTAATTGCTTGCAAAATTCACCAGATGCTGACTTAATTTTTTGTAGGTCATATAAGTGACTCAGATTGTGATATGCAAGTGAGTTTCAACAGTATGAATTATGAAAGCAACGAAGGCACGATACCCGAGCTCTAATTCTGTCCAGGACCATGGGGCATGTCATGTTCACGTAACACTTAATGCTGATATTGATTCACTATTTCTAGGGTGGTGTGGTGATAAACGTTATTGAACCTGGAGGCGCGGCAGCTAAGGATGGAAGAATTGCAATTGGAGACCAAATTATCATGGTATGATAAAGAGAGAGAGAGTGTAGCTTGGTGTAGAATCTCTTCAGAGAAGCAGTATCTAAGGATAATTCAGGAAAATTCAGTCTAAGCAATAATAATTAACAAATGGTAAACACCACAGCGTACACTATTGAGTTATGGATGCACGCGGGAGGTTGCTTAGCACGAAAGAAGCGTAAGAGTCGCTAGAGGCGATAGCCGAGAGCGACTCTAGCTTCTTGTTTTATAACATAACATTGATACATTGTAGCTAAAGAGTTCCCTTTTATTTAAAAAATCTTACGTGACCAGAAAAAACAATCGCGCGCGGAAAAATAGTCTTTGCATTTGCTCACGTCAGCAGCGTACACCCATGGGCAAATGGGGGACGCTAAATTGGCCAATCAGAGCGCGCGCTTTACTTTGGTTATGTTATAAGAAAAATTGAATTCTAAGAATTGGAAACACTTGTCTTCTGTCTTTAGGTAAACGGCGAAAACTTGGAGCAAATGAACCATAAAAATGTGGTTTCTGCTTTGAGGTTAGCTCCATCTCCAGTGAAGTTAACCATTCTTCGAGAGAATCCCGAGAAGCTTTTCACTTCTGTTGAAGGTAAGAAGTTGTTGTGGTTACAATTTCTTATAAACGAATTCATGCAGCGATTCATAAAACAGAGGCTGACTGATTCAAGCATCACGACGTTGTTTCCTTTTCTCCGTTTATTTTATCAGAGGATTTTTAAATCTTTTTCTGTCAAAACTAGAGCCATCGACCATCTTTGAAGTGAATTTGGTGAAGTCCTTTACTGAATACCTGGGCTTAAGTATTCTTGGAAGAAAGTAAGTTTCCAAATAGATTTAACTCTTACGATAGACTACGATGTTGTGATAACAATGCCAAACAAATCAATAACGACGAAGAAATCGAGTAATCTTATTGACATATGGAATTTGGCAAATGATATGCTCTCTTTCTCTCCGGGATCTCACGGATAGAGACTATATGCAGTTTACAGATGACTCAGTGGGCGAATTTGTTCCAACTGCAACAAAATAAGAATTTATCATTTTACAATATGAAATATCTATTTGCTTTTATAATAACATTTTTTTTCTCTTGGTCATAATTTCAGGGACAAGAAAGGTCTATTTGTTACGTATGTGGTAAGTGACATTTTTATTTTGTAACGACAAACTTTACCTGACCCCCCTCCCCGTAAGACTGTAAAATTCTTATGACCCCACCTCCCCGTCATTGATTGGTGGTCAATTTTCTACGAACTCACATCTATACTCTGTTGGCGACGACTTACACCCCCTCTAAAACCATGGGAATTCCCAATTAACATCCTCCACCCCCCTCTTCCCCCGGCGATAGATAACAAAAGGTCCCCAAGGGGCCAATTTAGGGTGGAGATGTACTAGTTCTGCCTGACCCCTACAATTCATAAACCCTGATACTCTTGAATAGCACAGGGTTGTTTAAGTCACGCCTGATACTTTGGAATACTGGGACTTGGATACTCTGGAATAACACAGGGTTATTAAAGTCAAGCTATATTATTGCCTTACTACAGTCGGAGGACAGTATCGCATACAGTGAGGGTTCGATCCACCAGGGAGACAGAATTCTGGAGGTGAATGGAGTGAATCTTAAGAAAACAACACAGGAAGAGGCCTGCAAAGTTTTACAGGTCAGGAGAAAACTGTTAGCTTCGAACATGGAATAGCCTGAGTATCAGGCTATTCCATGTTGGAAAAAGAAGGAAAGCCCTTCTTCCCTCCCTCGCTTGGCCCCAACCCCTTTCCATCGGAAGACCTGATACCGCCTCCCGGTTAGCTCATTGGATAGAGCGCTGGACTGATGTGCGGGAGGTCGAGTGTTCGAGTCCCTGCGGACTAACACTCAAGGTCTTAAAATAATTGCGAAGAATATGCAGCCTTTCTATAACATCAAGAAATGGTTTAGATATTCTTTCTCCTGCAGGGCTAGGGGTAGGAGACGTTAATTTCCCACGCACGAGATTACTGTGTGATGGATGTCCTCCCGTGGGGTGGGATGGGTGGGTTGTTGTCTTGCGTTTCATATATGAGCCTCTGGTTCGGGCAAAATGGGTAACCATGCTTCACGTAAAGACATTAAACTTTGATTACTATTACTATTATTACTATAACTAAACATGCAGAATAAAGCTTACGTACATGGCTGACTTGGATTCCTGATTGACTATATTCTGATTTAATTGGCAGGAAGAGATTCATAGTGTGGCTATTCCCATAGGTTGGGATGTACACTGTTTTTCATCCCTCATCATTAAAACTTAAATGACACTCATTTGTACTGCTGGGTTGATAGAGAAAATTTGAGAGCTAAGCGTCCAAAGACTACAAACAACCAAGAAAGTTCTGCCTGAATAATTTTTTTTTGCGCTAATTGCAGTGACAGGATTTTCATACAGCCACATATTCTCATGAATTATAATGAGCAGCAGAACGTTTTACCGAGAACTTTGATCAAACTGCAGGCAGTTTCATCACTATGAATAAAACCGTCATTTCGAGACTTTTCATGACATTCAATGATCATAATGGGATGTTCTTTTTCTAATCATATTTAGCGTGCTTACGGGACTGTCAGGCTGAAAATTGGACGAATTCCTTCTCTGCACTCCTCTCTTTGCTCACCCAAAAGCAAATCTTCCCACATAAACCACGCCCTTGAGGATGATGGAGGTAAAGTTTCCGTGTTGCGCTAACAATATTATAGCTAACAATGTTTCTTTTTTTTTTACTTAGAACATGGAACACGGGTAGGACTGTCATTTTTCGGTATTATCTTCTCTTTTCAAGCGTGGTAAAATTAGAACTTCCTTGATTTCCATAGAGAAAACCGAAAAATTACTAATCTCTTTTCAGGTCTCAGCAAGGAGTTTCGTCGCTGGAACAGCGTGGACTCAGTGCAAAAGAAAAAACGCAAAATCCCGCGTGATGTTAAGAACCAGGTCCCCGCCAGAAGACGCTCAGTAAGTTGCAGAGATTACAGCCAGGCCTCGGAAATTGACCTTGTTGGACTGGAGCGAGCTTCCTCTGAGCATGACCTTAGAAGTGAGTGTAGAGGTTTTTCTCAGTTGTTTTTGCCGGATGTTTTCGTTGTTGCTGCTGCCGCTGCTGATGTCTAAGGCCTGGTTACGTACTCAGAGTACCATTTTTAAAGGAATGTCCCAGCTTCTCAGATTAGAGCTGCATTAAGAAAAGTCCATCATATTAATTTCCCAAATCTTCGTTTAGCTTTTTCAGTCAACTCGTCTGAAATTAAAAGAGTCACGGTTTTTTGGCTCGTGAAAAAGTAGCTCACACCTTTAGTTTCAAGTTCATCATTTGCAATGTAGATCCTTGCTGTCTTTAACAATTATCTTTCCATGCATGTTTTTAGTTTTTTCTTTCCTCATTTGTGCTTAACAAGAGATTATGTGGAGACTTGTTTGACCATTATGTATTTATCAAAAAAGAATTATGCTGCGTACTTCCTTCAAGTTTCCTTTTGGTTATCTATCCTTGGGCATATATCTGTAGTATTTGATTTGAAAAGTATGTTTTGAAGGGATGATTTAAGTAAGCGATGTGTTATTTTCGTTCATGTTAGATTTAGTTTTTTTATAAAGTTTTATTCTATATCATTTTACAGAAACCAATTTACCCAAGCAAGGTAAAAGAACTAAGGAACCTCGAGAGAGATTCAGATACGTGTATCCAGAGCGGATTGAACTGTCGTTCAACGAGCAAATCAATCGAGGATCTTATCAAAGAGAAGGTAGTTTCTGGTAGAACATATTTTGACTGAGTGTAAAAGAACGACAATGAGAGCAATTTATCAACTTACATTTATCAACTTACAAAATGATGTTATGTTCAATTTAGACCATTTGTTTCATTTGTTTGCAAGGACCACAATGGAAACTACTGGTTCACCAGTAATTGTGTAATCCTATGAAAAGACTTTTTTCTTTTATTTATATTATCAACTCAGTTAATGAAACCAAGTTATCTTGTAACACCCCCCACCGATGCAACACCACAGCTTTTTTAGAAAATTACCCCCTTGTTTCATTTAACTGTTTATTTATCTGTTTCATGTTTTAGATTACGTATGAAAAGAAGTCGAAACACTATCCAAGTGTAACAGAACAAGGAGAAAAAAAAAACTGAAAATGGAGTACTCCTTGATTAGAAAATTTTTTAAGATAATTTAAGAGTTATGAAGGTCAAGCAAAGTAAGGTTAAGTTACATGCGAGGAGTCTACCGTGAAATTAGAAATTTGTTTACAAAACTGAGGTGTCAAATTTTTGAAAGATGAAACTGGAGCCAAATATAAGTCATTACTGAGTCGTTTACTCATCACCATGATCCAGAGAGTGTTTAGCCAAATCCATCTTGCACAAAATAATAAAGCTGTACCACATTTTATTTAAACTGAAGGACAAGTATCTTATTAGACGTTTTGTTGTGTCGAGTTGTGCCGTATTTTGGCGAGCCCGTGTAGGGCGAGTCAAAATACAAATAACTCATAAAAATACTCAGCGATAACACAAAACAAAACGGCCAATAAGTTATTTATTATCCAACACGCCAAATTGTCATTTGAGTGCGGGCGAATTTCGCGGATATTTATTTACGGGGAGTGCTTGACAGAAGTATGCGAGGCGAGACGGAATTGGCGCGTTGTCGTGTTGCTGTTTCTATTTCCTTCACTGATAAATGATGAAATTTCATTGTCCCCAAACTGCTCCTCTTCTTTCGATTTATCTAATAAACTTGGATCAATATTCGTCGTCAGAAAGGTGATTTTGTCCGCCATTTTTTCTCTTTTTGGGAATTTCAATCCAACTCGTCGCTTGGCGATGCGAGTAAATCTGTCTAACCGGTCCTCTGCAGTAAATACCGCGTGCTATTTGTGCTCGTCAGGGGCGCTATTTGTACTCTACGAAGTGTAGTTGGATAAAAATTACCAGTAGCTTTTATATGAATGGACAAACAATAGGGTTCATCCAGAGACTTAAAAGTTAGAACCATCTTGTTCTGCATAATGAACAATACAACATGAGGTTATTGCTCCTGAAGTAACTTTTATTCTGCTGTTCACACACTACAGCTAGGGTTTTTATGTACAGAATTAAAGTTAGAACTGCCTTATACATGTACAGTATAATAATCAGTACCAATAGTTCTTGTTTGAATGGTTTTATCCGTAAACTTATGTGGTTACAATCATTTTGTTTATCAAAATAAACAGTTTCACCAAACAATACTGGTCAGCAGCCTTAACTTGAATGATCAAAAGCCAGGGTTAGATACACCTGCTAAAATCTTAGAACCAACTACACCATAAACGATGCTACAAATCAATAAATCAGTGGGAACGCGAGTAAGTTTATATCAACTCTAAGATGTCGATATGAAAAGAAATCGGAATTGAAATTAAAAGCAGCTCACTGCCCATAATGCCTTTTGCTTGATTAAATCATTATTTTTGTGATTTAGTCGTGAAATAATCTTTTTTCAATCGTTTGTTTGGAATTATCGCCTTTTGTGTTCTTTTAAAAAGTTCATTTTAATACCTTTAAGCGACACTTTGTTCCAAGTTTTTTTCAAAGAAGGTCACGGGGACAAATCTATGGCAGGTAGTATCATTTTTTTGCATGGAAATTCCCCTTTGTCTGAGTGACAAACGAAACCCAAATCAATAATAACGATTAAAATCTTCTTAGAGACATTGCAGCTTACGAAATAAAAAAATCCTTTGATTTAAAGATATTAAGGGAACATTTTCCATCTTGTGATCTCTGTTTGACACAAAATGTGATATTTAGCTCTTCTAATAGTAAAGGGCGAATATTCTATTTATAAACGTCAGAAAATTATGGCTTTCAAGCACTAAACGTCCTAATGCAAATAAAAGACTATATCTTCCATGTAATTAAAAAATCTTCGATTGTTAAATGATTAGCCTTGAAATTAAATATCTGATTCTTGCTCAATATCCGTTTGAATATTGCCAAAGGGTGGTTTTGGCAGATGAACAATTCAAGCCAAATTTGGTTCGCTCTCACCTTTAATTGTTGCTATCGGATACTATTCAGACTCAAAAGGAAAATTTTCTCTCACCTTTGATTTCAAACCATGTTTTGATCAGTAGAACTTGAACTGTTTACTTAACTTGTCTGCTTTAATCTAATTACGAACTTTTCCGTTTTTTGGCAGAAGAAAATTTTTGTCACTTACCTTTTTGATGTTTGATCAAGAAAATTCTGCAGCATTATTATCAAAACTCTCTTAAGACTCACCGCGAAACACAATCGCAGTTTAAATGAGTCGAGGGCTTTTTAGCCCGATGAAAGCGATGATATTTAGACCTAAAGTTCAGTCAAAACGATCGGATTTTTCTTCTTAAAATCGCATGGGGGATTGTGGGGAAATTTAACGAAACTATAAGCTCCGACAACAAATTAAATTAAGATGCGTGGAAATTGTGAAAATTTCCAGCAAGAACGGTTTTGTTCCTGTCAGCGGCTTCACAATGACCAATCAGTATGAAGTATTAATTACTTTCCGACATCTTTTGCATCAAAGACAGGTGAAAGAGCAACGGTGTGAATTAAACGCCGAAACCACAGTCCAACACCTCAAGTTAATATATTTTTGCGGAATAACAGCTGAGAACTATACCACCTCTGGTGATGTTTTATGGGAAAATCCTCTAGGACTGTGATACTGAAAATTCTGAAAAAATTCGATTCTGCTCGGCTGTCAAATTGTACTTAACTGCACGCCGGCAGAACGAAAGGATGGTTTCGCAATGGACAACGGCTTCAGTCGTCATTACGGCCTTACCTCTCACAATCGTTATATTGATTGGAATTTTTGGAAACTAGATGGTTGTGTTTATTAGTGCGAAAGGAAATAGAGTGCGTACGAAAGGACGTGCTCTCATCGCAAGTTTAGCTTTGGCGGACACTTTGGAATCGCTAAATCTCCTTTTTATGCTTGTATCAGTGATCAGTTATGGAAAGTGGATTTTCGCAGACGAGCTGTGTCAATTAAACGGATTTATGACAACAGAGTTTGTCATTTCGTCCATGTACAGTCTGACTGCGATAAGCATCAACCGTTACTTTATCGTGGTGAGACAGAATTACTATCGCAGGGTTTTTAACGCAAGGAATCAAGCATTGATGATTGCATTCATCTGGTGCATCCCTCTGCCATTTGCAATTGGACCTTTGTTTGGATGGTCAAAATTTGTGTTCCAACCCGGCAAATGTCTTTGTATCTTCTTCTTCAGTCACTCAGTCGTTTTTTCCACGGCGCTTCTCTTCGTCGCTGTTCCTTTACCCATCGGGATGATTTCTTTCTGTTGCTTTAAAGTTTACAAGCAGGTACCAGAGCATTCGCGACAAGTAACATCGATGGCTGCCCGTGCACCGTCTGTTAACGTAGAGGAGGTACGCATCACAAAGACTCTCACTGTGGTTATCGGTGCCTACCTGATTTGTTTCATACCAGCTGCTACAATAAACTTAATTGAAATGGTCCAACCCAGCTTTAAAATCCCACTTTGGTTCGACATTTTTTCCATGATACTAGTGTTTTGCAATCACGCCAATAACCCTGTGATTTACGGCGCGTTGAACAAACAATATCGCCGCGCTTTCAAGGACATCTTGAAAAATCTTCTGGCTGGCCGATGCTCTTTAGAGAAAACCTCAGACAGCTCGGCAAATAACAGATGAATGACTGAAATGAGGCCGGCACCAAGATCAAGACGATTGTTTAAGACCTCTGCAAAAGTGGCCACAATTGCTCAGTCGCGAAAAACGAACCAGGAAACCATTGGAGCGCATGCAAACATCCTGGAACCAACAACGCTCGCTAGTTTCTGAGACATTTTCATACATGTTGTATACCTAACAGAAAAGAAACTGAGTAAAAATGTTCTAAGTTAAGGTCATAACACACAAACAGCTTTTTTCAACGCTGCATGATTCATTAAGTCAGCAGGTGTAATTTTGTTCGCGGTAACTTGAGTTTCGAAATCGGATTAACGTGCATGCGCTAACATTAACATGAATCCCATTAAAAATAGTGAAATGTAAATTATCTTTTCTTATTCCACCAAATCTGCAAGTGGGTTTGCGTTTCTTAAGAAATGATTCCATTGCCTGAGCGTAGAATGGAATATATTTACTTATTCATCGTTTATTCACTGAGAGAGGGGCCCGTAAACCTCATCAAACTGAAGCGCATATGCATGCATATAGGTTGAAGTAAAACGTGAGCTCTGAGCTCGTTAAGGGTAGAATGTTATTCATTGTATTGTTATAAAACAGCAGGTAGGTGGGCATTAGAAATTTTAAAATGTCATATTTGGTAGATATCATTGGTGGATTAAGCGTTACGAGGGAATTGCTCGAAAGAAAACTCTTAAATTTGGAACTTGTTTATCGCTCAAAATCTGCGCTATCCGGTATTTCTCGTCAATTAAGACATGCAAAATTAAAAATGTTACGTATGCTGGAACTATAAATCATTTATTGCAAACAATATGGTGCCTCAACATGATTTCTTCGGCTAAAAGAAAAAATATCTTTTTATTAATTATTATGATTTTGTAATTTATAGAATCACAATTCTTTAGCTAGCATTTTCTTACCATCTAGTTGATAGCGTTTTCCAACTCTTCAAATCAAAATTCCCTAAAGAATTTTTTAAAGAGATTTTGTCTGTATAAATGCGGTGAATCAATTAGTTCTCCTACTTCCAACTTGAACAATTAACCAGTTGATATTAAATGCCACAATCATAACTTCCGCAGTTTTTTTCTTATTATTTTGTGCCGTAATAGCAGAAAACGTAATGGTTTGCCGACGTCTAGCACACATTTCCAAATAAAACTTTGCAATTATGATTTTTTTAAAACAATATTTTTACCAAGTCCGCGCTATTTATTTTCCATCATTTAATGGAGCCTGAAAGCTTGCGTCAAATTAAATTCAGAGAAAAAAGAAAGGGAGAACTATGTTTGAAGGATACTTAAAGCGTCTGAAAACCTTTTTCCACTTTGTTTATTAGGCTTTTATCTGTTTTTACAGCTTTTGCGACTAATTCTTAAAAAGTGTTAACTTATGATCAGCTCATTGCTCAATATTAACTCCTACTTTCAAACTTCTTTAAACGAGTTCTATGTAATTTTACAGAACACTAACGTAAGAAAAAGAATAATATAATATATCATATGCGACATTTTGCCCATAGTCATCCAGAATTTGACAAGGAGTTTTTCTAAAATCTAATTTCAAGGTAGCAGTGTCTATTTTTTACCGCTTGGCATCCATGGACGCGCAGCTAAACAAATGGTTAATTGTCTGAATTGTTATTTTCAGAGAAATGTAAGCCAAAAAAACATATTAAATTAGTTTTTCTTCCAAAAGCTTGGCGGGTCATTGCGCGAATTACGAAATTATAAGAGCACGGTTAAAAAGGAATAAATAATATGAACAGTAAAACACCACTAAAATATTTCTTTTTTATTATTATTATTTCTTTCTTTTTTTTTTTCGGAAACTTAGATTTAGAGATTCATTATTTTAAAATCAGCCGTCCAAGGCCCTATTAAATATTTACAAATTGTTAGATTTGACCAATATTAATTTTTATCTTTATAGAAAAGAAAAAACAACAGAACGGTGAGTGAATTTTCGAAACAAAAGGTTCACAGTTTATTTCTCCTCTTTGGTTATTCCTGAAAATAGTGTTATTCATTTGTCGTTATTTCACAAATCGTCATCCATGTCGTATGTTCCAGTTTATATCACATATTAAAATTAAACGTGACACTTCTGCATTTTTCTCAGTGACCGGCCGGCCTGGCTGGAGGTTCGAGTCTGACTATATCTTCGGGAAATGTTGGTCATTTCACTGAGGCCTCGCGAATGCGTTGATGGAGCTTGCGATCCAAGTGCAAGGAAAATCTTGGAGCGGGTTGGTACGCAGTTGTTTTTAAAAACTGTTATGACAACAACTATTTATAGAAGTGCGGCTTTTTTAGTTGCGTCTTCATAGGAGGCTGGCAACGATTAGATAAATCCACTCCTTCCGTTCTTTCCTAAAATCTTTGATCTTCCTCAAAGACACAAACAAAAGTCACTGATTGATTAAAAAAAACTGAAAATTACTTTGGCCCTGGTGCCGTTATGTTTTTCGATATTCCGTTGATGTTAAGCTAAATTCAAAAGACTCTTAAGTTTTCACGTCTGTTATCACGAAAGGTCAACAGGAGACGTACGTTTGAAGATAATCTTAAATTTTTAGCCAATCAGGCGGAAGGATTAGATGATCGGGGTCAAATGCAACGTGGGTTTATTTAGTCGTTTGCTTATCTTACATAGATAAATAAGTCCATAATCTCGTTATCTATCTATTCTTTTTATATTACGTAAAGCAAATAGTTCTTCCCGTGAGCATAGACATTTCGCGCGCGAGAACATAAACGAACAACTTGAAAAACTCTCATATCGTGAAAGCTTGTGTGGGAACGCGCAAAGTCTGTTACAATGGGGGATTTTGGTCCTGTGGATGGACGCCAAGGTCGTAGTTACCTCAGCCAAGCCTTGTTGGAGGAAAGTGAAGTTCGAAGCCAGATTTCTGTGGGTTCAAGCAAACAGCGTCGCATTTCAGGAGAGAGTGCAAAAAGCGATCGGAAATTCTCCACACAAGAGGAATCTTCGCGATGGATTTCAGTTCCCGGTCGACGAATTTCTGCTGCGTCGTATTTTAATAGTTGGAAGAAACCAACAGAGGTGAGTGCTGTAAAAGAAGAGAGGAAGAGATCCCTCGAGAATACGTATCGTCTTGAACCGAAGATTCGACTCCCTGAAAGAAGCGTTCATGCAATTATCGCAGAAGCTTTAGATACCTTAGAGTCGCACACATACAGCGCAACTCATTCACCGTTTATCGCCAAGTTACTGACCACTCGCATATTGGAAAGTGTGAAACAGTTGAACATCGAACGTTACAAATTTGTTTGTCTGGTTACCATTGGAACCAAAGGATCTCAGGATTTAAGAATAGCAAGTCGGTGCCTTTGGGACGATCAGTTTGATACATTTGTTAGTGTTTGCTTTGAAAGACAAGGATTTTTCGCGGTGGGAACAGTTTATGGTGTTTATTTTGAATAGCCTTTATTCCAGTTTTGGAGAATTTTTTTCCTTGTTTAAAAACTGATAATAGTTGTGGCAACAATTTCTGGCGTGAGAGAAATTCAATACTGCAGTTTGTGATCTATATCCTCCAATTTTGACATTTTTTACTGTCTAGGACCGACTCCATGCACCGTTTAAATACGTTGGCGTCATTTGAATTCTTATAGACATCAGCCTTTTCCGCTAAAGCTGTTGATCATTCGCAAAGTTGTAGGTAAAATTGCGCTCATGAGAACTGAAGAGAAATTACTTATCTAAAGACAAAATGGACTGTAAAATTGCGTGAGATAGCAGAACGGGCGAAAGGTTACCAAAACATCATGTGGTTAACTCTCAAGATTCCAAAGAGTTTATTAGGATTAATCCGGTAGGAAATAGCGTGCTCTCGGATGAGATCAATCATCTCAGTTTTAGAATTCTAACGCTCACTAAGCCGATTCTTTTAACTGATTATCTTAATAGTTTTTACTGAGAATTTGGTGTTACATCAGTGTAATAGTTCGACAGTGTATTCAAACTGTTAGGATAACTTATACACGCTGATCGATCGCGATCCCTGGTGTTAGAGGTCACTTTATTTTTGTCAACCGATAATTGGACTGGTTATTAAAACTTACCTAGAGAATTAGCTTTGCACGTGCAAGCTTTCAACAGAGAAGCGGATAGTATGACATTTCAGTGGCAGAGGTTAAGACTCGCTAAGCGCCGAAACCTTGGTTTGAGAATCTGCGAGACCGAGAAAGAAGAACTTTTGACATACATCTATTAACTTTTACCTTCGCTTAATTTCATTCATTGCAAGGTACTTCTTTGAAGAAACATCTGGCGTTAGAATTGCACGACACTTCACTTTTTTTTTTTTTTTTGTGATAATCAGCTTCTATCCAACGTACACGACAGCAATCGAAACCGTAACAGTAATATTGAGACTCGCGGTTTTCAGAACAACTTCGAGGATTTGAGAACTTTGAAAAAAAATACGAGAGCCTTTAAAATAGAAATCACGAGGAAGAGAAAAAGGATAAAGTGCTCGGTTGAACCGAGACTTGAAAATCCTGCTGCAAATTGTGACGAGATTTTCAAGAGTGAATGGAGAGTTTGCGAGATCCAAGAATTTTCAAGTCCTGTTTGCCATTCCTTGGGGTGGCAACCTGAAGCAAAGCCAATTTTTAAATATTTTAACTATTCATTCTTCCTTAAAGGCGTTTCCAATGTTTCGCACACTTCTTTGATAAAGAATTGAAATTGATGCATCAACAGCTAGCATCAGTGCATTTTTTCAGAGGGAATTTAGTACTCACAATTTTTGTCTGTGGGTTTTCAAGGTCTATCGCTCTTGGCACTACAAAGAAATATCTTTCAGTTTGGAAACTGAAGAACTTTGTTAACAGAATGACAATGATAAATTATCTACAGAAAAATACTTTCGCAAAATTTTTTTTAGTAGATAAATTGGTCTGTATTTCAGTGATTTTATTGCACGTCTGTAAGTTTCTGTTTTTTGTTTTATTCAGAATAAGCATCACTTTTTCCTGAGAGCTCATTGATGACATTCAATTTTGAGCGTGAGTTTTGGATTGCTTTATCGCAAAATCAAAACGTGCTCATCCAAGCTTTTAAAATCCATTGTTTATGGTGAAATTATTGCCCCACTTAAAATTGCTCTTTTGATCATTGAACCCCTACGCGAGAGAGCTATTTGAATAAGCTCATGATTCAGTGTTGTAGAAACAGTTAGGCTTCATTGATCAAACTTGGAAAGACACGCAAACTTTTTCGAAAATGGATGAAGATAGTTCCTCTAGCAGAAGGCAAAGCCGTTACAATCGTTCAATGCCGGAGGAAAGCGAATCCAGTTCGGTTTTATTCGAGAACTCTGTAGAGAAGATCGGACGTCAACGAAGTCCTTCGGTAGAGAGCGTACAACGTGGGCGCAAAGTCTCGCAAGAAGGCAACCTTTCGCGAAAGATTCCGGGCTTAACAAGACGAATCTCTGCGCTGTCTTTCTTCTCCAATTTCAAGAAACCAGCAGCGGAAACAAAACCAACGGATGAAAAATTGAAAAAATCCTTCGAGAATACGTACCAGTTGGAGCCGAAGATTCGTTTTCCTGAAGGAAAGGTTCGCGCGGTGATCCAAGAGGCTCTGGATACTCTAGACTCACATACATACAGTGCTCAACACACGCCGTTTCTTGTCAAGTTGCTGACTGCTCGGATACTGGAAAACGTAAAACAGCTGAAGATTGAGCGCTACAAGATTGTTTGTATGATAACTCTTGGAACAAAAGAGTCCCAAGGAGTCAGAGTAGCAAGTCGTTGCCTATGGAATAGCCACTTCGATACGTATGTCAGTGCGTGCTTTGAGAGGGAAAAATTCTTTGCCGTTGGAACAGTTTATGGTATTTATTACGAGTGAAAATGTCTTGTCTTGAACATAACGGGGAATTCATTTACTGATATCAGTTTTCAATATTTTTGTGTAAACTCCGGGATGAATTTGCAAAAAGGATATTGTAAGCAACACTGCGACTTTGGGGGCAATGCAAGTGACAACTATTTCGTAAGTTATTTGCAGACCTCTTAATCTCAAGCATTTATCGATGCCATCTCTCTTGTCACAAGATTTTTATAGATCAATCACTTCACATCATAATTTACTTCCATTCGTACGTCTTCAATAAATGAGAATATAACTTTCTGATTATTATTTAGCGTACAAAAAATTTTTAACAGGACAAAATTGGTTCAGAAGTTTGTGAAATTCGAATTCATGTTTTGTGCATTTTAGTGTTTAGTTTGTAATTGTTTAGACTGTTGGGGAAATGATAATAAAACGAGAATCGACGTAGTTTATATATGGAAATAAGGGTATAATCGACAAGGATTTACGCTCTAATGGCGGTCAATGGCGCACAGTAGAAAATGAAACTGTCTCGACGCATTTGACTAGATACGTCTTTTTTAATAGTTAAGCATTTATCTACACGTTATTTTTTATGCGCTGTTCAAAATAATCCTAAATTGATTAAAAAACAGCTTTTCAAAACTTGTAATCATCGTTAATCTATAGACACACATAGCTCAAGTGGTTATCAAGGTCGCCGTAGGTTGTTGGAATATAATTAATGACGCTTGACGGTTTGAAATCGATTCTTACAGAGATAAGTAGTATTAAAACGGGGCAGAACGATGGATATATTCTTGCTGAACAGAAAAACCAGCCTCAAGCTTAGAAAAAACTTTGGAATTGTGATAAATTTGAATTTTCGCACTTTGATCGGACGTCGCAAGACTGAACTGTTGTCAAGTTTATGATAAACAAATATGTCTCAATTTGGCGCATAATTGAAAAACTCCTTGTAAAACTCTTATATTGATAAGCATGGTCCTTCCCGCATCTACTTCATTGCATATAAAATTCATCCTAAAACTGATCAATGAAACAGAATATCTAATTTTTTAATGAAACATAGAGTATGATTTACTATAAAGAGAATCGTTAAAAACATTTGGCGTGCACTGAGTGTTACCGACGCCATCCAGTCGACGTCGGAACCCGTCATGCCTTTGTCTTTGGCCAAAAAATGGAACAATTAAATTTTAATTTCTATCACGTACACGATAACGAACTGGAAAATGTAAGTGACGTTAAGACAGGCTGACCCCAAGACGACTAGAAAAGATGTATAGAAAAAAAGGAGGGGAGGCTAGGTTCGAGTATTCTACATGGTTGAAGTTCCCTAATGTAGACAGCGATAAAACGTCGGTCGTGCCCACGTAGATCAACTTTGGCCAACCGCGCGCCGATTTTCCGCGCAGAATTTTAAAGAGACGTACATAAAAAAAAGAGAATTTGTTATATAAAGAGTTGAAACTTAGAGAGAAAGTTGAGAATGAAACAAAGGAAAGTGGAGACTTTTCGAGCGCAGAAAATATCTAACTACAGGCAAACTGTTGATCCGCCTACATTTCTGTTTTCAGCTTCACCAGAAAAGTTATAAGTATATAAATTACAGGCTGCAATAGCTATAACTCCAGTGAAACACTTTGGCCCCCATTGAATCTTAGCCAAGTTTGCACATGCGCAAACGTTTTGCCTCTGTGTTTCTAAGGAGGGGCCTGCAGTAAAGTCAAAGTAGACGTTAGCAGAGTCGTTCACCTTTCTCTTCAAAACTTCAAATGTATCGATCAAACTACGTGTACGCTGTTTTGCATTGCGACCTGTCTGATTTCTAACAAAGACGCTTCTCAAATTGCTCACCATGGTCCGCAGGTTCTTTTTCTAGACGCTGTTAGGTTTTCAAACATACTGTCTGCCACGAGGCGGCCATTTTGACTTTTTCATGACACGTTCAGTTGTTTGCTAAGCATCTCCGTCACTCATAATAAACACCATACACTACGCCAATGGCGAACAAGTCTCCCTTTTCAAAATAATATTGTGCGTAGCTGTCATGCCTTGGATCCCAAACGCATCTGCTAACCATTCGTACGCTTTCTCCTTTCTTTTGACCTACAGAAACAATACAGATTATTTTATACCTGGAAAAATCCAAACATTTAACCTGCTCTTTGATTAAGTCTGCAAGAATTATACACATTTGGTGATAATTGCGACGATCATCGGGTTCCTGTGGCAAAGTTTCCTCAAATGTTTTCTTGATAATCTCTGTAACTTTCCAGTGCTCAAACATTCTCTTTGGCTCCATGCGAAAAGAGTTCTGTAGAGTTCCTTGCTGCGGGATTCGTTCTTGTCCACTAGATTGAGTAGCAGTGGATGTCCTCCTTGATTGTGTGTGTCTTTTTCTTCGAGACGCACCCTCCCCAGATCGGAAATGTGGTATCTTGAAAGACTCTGAATCTGACGATGCTGCTGCATGGAAACCAATCGTCATCATTGTGTTCGATCTTTGTCTTCGAGTTCCGCCTTCTTCTGATTCTAAAAAATGATAGGCAGCATACTTCTCTGTTCCTTCAACATGATCACTTGTCGAAGCCGTGTTCATTGTAGCAGATCGGTTCCTTATTAGTAGTTCCTCTTTGCCGGGCTGAGGAGAGTTCTGTACTTGGTTTGATGGATCATCACAGTACGTCACTGCAAACTCTCCCCCGTCGCTTATTTTCTTCTGCTCGGAAAGAAGACCCGATGACAGTTCTTTGATCTTGAGAGCGGCGCTTCGTGCTGCTACGACAGAATGGATTCTTGGCGGCCCCAGGTAAGTCATTTTGTGTAAAAACCAATCTTTACGGGGATGAAGACAGTGAAGAAGAAAGTGAATACATGCACCACACAACTTCCTCGGCTGGAATCTGTTGTCAATAAGGTTAGCCCTGTTGTCAATGACAAAGTCCACAAAAGCAGCTTACATGCAATTTTCGTCTGTTTAATTTGTTATTCTCGTCAAGACGAAAAAGTTAAAGGTATTTGCATTTTATTTGCATAAGAATTTGAAGGTCAAACTCTCAGACCCCATCCGCTTTTCAGTTGGCTCAATGTAGACAATATTTCACGCGAGTGTAAAGAAAGCAGACCATTAATAAGGAAGTTATTGTTGTCTTTCTCTTTTCATTGTTTTGCGACAAAATAATGATTAAAATGGTTGAGAAATAGTAAATTAAATCACAAACACATCGTATTCCTTTGAATTCTCAGTGTACTAACTCGGCTTTCGGACTCTGTAAACCAAGTTCCATTTCTCGCACCACAATCTCAGCTAATGAGATACAAAACTAAAATCAATCGTGAACTTGGTCTCTGACATTTTCTCGCGCTTCAGACAGTTTGCGCGGTTTAAGTTTAACCTCTGATTGGCTGCTATCGATTTTTCCTTGTGCCCTGATTGGCCCATTTGGTTTTGACTTAACGATACTCAATGGAAATATACTTTAACTATATACAGCCTTATGTTAATTTAGCCCCAGCGTGAGTCCTAAATCTTGACGTAAACAAAATCTTAATAAAGTCAACACAGTTTATCTAAATCCTTGTTTAAGTCATGTTTTGTATAGGAGATAAAAATAGATTAATTAACATGTAGTACCAAAGAGATCGAATCTATTACCATGAGCACGTCCTTTTTCTTCGAAGGGGAAACAAACTATCAACTCTTCCGAGTTTTCCATCAAAATACTCGGTTCTTTAGCGATCTAAACTCTGGGTTCTACAAAGATATTCTAAAAATCCTGTAAACTCTTTATTTGAATTCCTTGTCTAGGATCTGCTATGACAAGTTTGTGTCGTGACTAAAAATGGTCGTTAAGGACTTCTTCATCAGATTATTTGCTTTCATAAACTAAAAAATCTTGAAAACTCTTCGTTGAGAATCAGGTCATTGAATATAAGGCAATGAGATAAGTGATGATTAAAGTTCTTGAAAAATCAAATTTTGTTTTCGTCTCAAAATGTTTCTATCGTTCGCGTCAAAGCAGAATACTGCAGAATGTAACTTTGATAATTTGACCTGAAAAAAATTGTTTGAGGTACCATTCCCAACGTCAGAGACACACCTTTAATGACAAATTTACGGAGCTTTATAGAATCCTTCCGTTTTTATACTACTACCTGTAGAATTCATATCTTCTCTTACGAAATGAGAATATGTTTGCCGATGAAACTTCAAATTCTCTTTACCCAGACTTGTTATAGTTACGTAGGAAGCCAAAGTTTACTTAAAACTTGATAAGTTTTGGCTCTTGTATTGTGAGATGTATTAGTGGCATATAGCTGTAAAAAGACTTAACTAAATTGAAAGAAAAACACAATGAGTAGAGATCACAGGAAGATTTCGCGATCTGTAGAAGAACGTAACATCCACGCTTCCACCACGCGGGTTTCGCAAATTTCACAGACAGACAACGAATTGAAACAGAAGTTACAAGCGATCGATACTTCTTACAAGATATCGAACAAACGCATTAGGAATGAAACTCGCGAGTTAAAGGAAATTCTGTACGGGTTACAACGAGAACTGCAGGTATCAAAAGGAGAGAATCACGGACAGTATATTCCTTCTTTCATTGAACAACCTCAACGACGCACGCGAAGAACGACAGTCCCATCTGAGGAACGGAGAGATGTTGTCAATGCCGATGTAGTAAGGCGAAGGAGTGGAACCCATCCACCAAGTTCACACACACAAGGCAACAAGAAAGCTCGAGACGATTTAAATGATGGGAAAAGTGCGGGAAAAGTGTCAGAAGAAGGAAGAGAGGAGAGAACAACAAAAGTACAAGAGGTTAGCGTATGGAAAAACGATGGATTTCCTTCACGCACACTGAATGAAACAATCCTCTCGAGTCGAATCGGCGGTGAACAAGCATTTCCTGCGAAATATTCGCCCAGAGAGCAACAACAAGGCGAAAGAAAGAGGTCGACAAATGACGCATTTCGCGGTAGATTTGTAACGAACACTGCTATCAGCTCTCTGGATTCGAGCATACCAAGTTCAAACCGGAGAACTTCACAAACACAACAAAAATCGGAGGGAGGTAGAATTTCTGTACGGCCGAGTCCGAACATTTTCGAAGACATTTCATCGGGAAATCAAAGAGAACCGAGAAAGAAGAGTATTCCCTGGAAGAAGAAGGACAGCCTTAATGTGGGAACTCGGGAAGACAGTCCGATGGGGGTTCCCCCTGGGAGACATGACCCGCACGATGCGGAGGTCGTATTCGATGCTCTTCCAGATTATCTCGGAGGTCGGAGATTGAGTGTTGCTCATGGACGGGTACGGAAAGTATTTCGGGGGACTGGACTTCCCCCTCTAAAGGAAGAGACAGTTGTTCAGAAGGAAAAAACGGCCGAAAATTGGAAAGATTTGTCCAGTTGTAGATATTTACGGAAAGAAGACCAGGAAATAACAATAGATGATATATTTAGAAAGGAATAGAAACACAACAATTGTTTTTCTACTTGAGAGTGACTTGAATTGTTCCCCAAAAGAAAAAAAAAGAAAAAAAAAAGCACTGCTGGCGATTTTTTTGGGGCAAAATCTCTCTCCTGCAAGATGGCTCTTTTTGCGAAGCAGACAGAAACTTTTAGACAAAAAAAGAGAAAAAACAAAAATCCCCTAAATAACTTAGTGCTCGAGTTATTTTGGTGATCCTGTCATCCAGTTTTCACTTAAATGTCAAAACAAACCGTGTTTGGTGTATTTAAACAAATAACCCACAGCCAAGAATTGCTTTCATAGACATGTTAATATATAATTGACATTCAAACGTGTTTACATAGAGAGAAGAAAGCACTCAATAAATACAGACAGTAAGACCCTCTGATGACGTTTCTCTGACACTTGGCATGCTGGATGTCTGTACTGAAATGGTCTCAACACGAGAGGAACTTAACATAGGTTTGGAATCGTCGCCTAATTTCAAGTCCGCGTTCTCCTGAATGTCTGTCGATGGGATAACGAGGAAAGTCTGCAAGTCTCGGTATAGGAGATCGTGCTTGTCGCCTACTTGTGATTTCTGATCAGGAAAAGGTTAATCAAAGGTTTATTTGCTAATATAAATTTTTCAAAGAAAAACTTGAAGTTTTCCTCATTGAAAAGGGAATTAAGGAAAACAGGACACTTCGGGAAAGGGAGTCAAGGCTGTGAAAATGTTGAAGTTTGCATATTTCGTTACTAGGTACCCTCATCAAAAGTTTTCATCAAATTTCCTGCATCTTGCTAAGTGAGAGTGAAAAAACGGCGTATTATGAGCAAATGCTTTATGGTGATCCTCACCTCCGGGTTATTTCGACATTACCAAATATCCTTCCGATATCTGGTAATCTCGACATGCCCATAAAAAATTATGCTGATGATCGCTACCCCGAGTGATCCATAGACATCGCGGAATGTCCTACGGACATCAAGTTAGCTACGTGCAAGTCAAGGGTTTTTTTTAAACGTCACGGAGTGCTCCATGGTTATCCTTTAACTAAAAGCCCAACACCATTGTTTTAGTAAGCTGCCAGCTTCAGCAAAATACGTTATACTTCGTTTTATTCCACTTTTTTCCTATTACTCAATACACTTATCACTAATCCATTCGGAATCATTCCATGGGAAATAAATTAATGTCATCTCCAGGCCTTCATTTTACGGTCCATCACGCAGATACCTCAGAACGCGCGACTCGACAGGAGGTTGGGAAGAGCTACGTACCGCAATGGTATTCGAGAGAAAACCAACTTCACTCGCATGGTAACCACAAATCTACATTACTGGACAAAATATACGTACGCCCGCAAAAACGAAGCGGAAACACGCACACACAAATACACATACACCGAGAGGTACACGCTTCCTTCGAGCACAAACTTTTCATTGCTAAAACACTCACTCGTTTCATTCAGTAACAACACTTCTCGTGCAAATGCCAATCCACACATAACTCTGTTGTCTCCCCTGAGACTCGTAAACAAAATAATGAGTTTGTTTACAAACTCTTTGGGAGCTTTCGAACCCTCATATATCAAAACCGGGCCCGTGCAGTTGGGTAAAACTCAAAGATAAGAACCTAGAAACAGTCTCTGTAAGTTTGGATCGCGGAAACTAAGGACAAACATCTATTTTCAAACAAAACAAGGACGTAGCTAACCAGCTGTGTAACTCGTGGTTCTTTTCTGTGAGTTTTCTCTGAAATCCAGAATTAAACAAATTAATTTTCGAAACGTTAGAGCGCTTTCGATTGAAGTGTCGAAAAACAAAACTGAAGCACTCTGAGAGTCCAATCAGAACAGAGAAAATACAAAAACAACAACGAGTAAATATAAGCGAACTTCACGAAGCGCGGGAAAACGCTACTGACCTCAGTTATAAATCTAATTGGCTGAGAGAGTGGCACGAGTTTCCTGAACCAATCACAGAGCAAAGTAACGCAGAGCCAAAGTGATCCGGGATTATTTTCGACATTCAATTGAAGAGTGCTCGTCGTTTGTCGTGTATGTAAAATTACCTTCAATGTGAAGGAAACACAAATATGACAGTTCGGCGAGATAGAGATCACCAATATAAAATAAATAAACCAAAAAGTATCGCGGAGAGGTGAGGATGGAGAAGACCTTTCCGGATTGTAAGTAACAACCTTGAAAAGTCCAAGACGCTCAAACCGCGACATTTCCAGCTCAGAAACGAATCCAAATTCTGACAAAAGGGTATAACACCCTCTTAGGCAAGACAGCTGCTCAATAGTTCTACACTGTACCTATCTATTTGTCCTTGTACTTCCGTGTAAGGAGAAACAAGGTATTGGTCAACTCCGACACAGTAAGATATCTAAGTTCACTCATACATGATATATCAGTCTTTGTATCTATGTACATATTTCAATTATTCACAGTATTTACAGTATCTACACAGCAGTTTGTCTTTTGGTATTGAGAGCTTTTTAAAGTGAGTGTTGTGAACCAAACCTAACGTAACTGAAACCGCCAATCAGAAACAAACAGAAAATTACCTCAAGGAACCAATATAAATTTGAGGTACATGCACGTAGATGGTCTTGAGCGCGGGAAAAGTTCACGTAAGCGCGTCGTGCTTGGTTGTAGTTTTGCATCTGATTAGTTGAGAAGGAAGCGCGAGTTTTGTGGACTAATCATAACGCGTGGTGAAGGCAAAACGCAGAAAACGTCAGCCAACTAATAAAATTGTTCCACTAAGTCCAGGCGATCCATCGAAGTTCACCATTGTTAGATTCTTGGTAATTAACGGCCAGCTGTCAAAATTTCGTATCCAAATCTGTTTCATCAAACTTATCTTCTGACTTGTCTCTCAGTTCACGTTTAAGATTTGAAAACATTTTTGGGGCCTCTTCGGAATGTCTTCGTAGCTCGCATTTAAGTTCCAGTTTATTTTGACTATTCGTTTCGATTAAACTAACACTTCGCGGGCGTTCAAGGGGGCTTTCTTGTTCGACAACACAACGTACGCCTTGGTGTTTGCGATGGTGGCGTCCTTTTAGCTCAAAACTGTCTTTTCTCCCGAGAGATCTCTCGTCACGGGAAGTCTTCCGGCGAAATTCAGTTTTTTTATCGTGTTTGCTGAGATGAAAATGTTCTGGAGATAAAGCGCGTCTTAATAACGGCGACCCAGGCCTCGGGGAGGTTTGGGGCGTAATTGTGACCAGATGTGACGCGGGGGACCCCCGAAGGGTCAGAGGAGACGTGCTACGAGGCTGATGTCCCTGAGTGTGAGGATGAGAGGGGGAGACTGAGGTTGGTGATGGGGTCCTTGCAAGGGGTGACACGGGAACGTGTGTTGATGTTTTTCTCCTTGGAGAGCGAACCGCTCGCAGCTTTGGAATAATTCCTTGTAGAGTTCCTGACAAAAGAGAAAAGATAGGGTGAGGTCACCTACAGGAACGTGACTGACTTAGAAATCCCGGTCCATGGTTGCAAAAACACGTCTTCAAAACTTCGCACTATGATATTTCGCATCGTGGTGAATTCGTTCAAATCGGAAAATTTGCCGACAAAGTTGTTCCATCTGGCGATTGAAACAAAACTGATTGATAACTCAAAAAGAGAGCACAGTAACCCCATCCTATGGTCGAAGCCGGACCTTTAGATGCAGAGTCCTTTACGCCTCACGTTGCAATAAATACAGCTAATTTTGCGAACTTTAACAGCACAATTTCTTACAGACCTAACCTGTGTACAGCCGCCCTATCCCCTCGAAAAAATCGGGGAGGGAGCGTCTGTGATTTACCGTTGCTAATCGTGTATGGGAATAACTTTGCATAAATTAAAAAAAACTCGTTTCCGCTGACCAAAATTTTCGTGGTTCCTCTCAGCTCATTCCGATTTTCAAAATGGCGGTCAATATGAATACTTTTCATCGAGCAATTGAGAGTGTTTGCGACGTTTTCAAAATCGGTTCACTCTTTACCGAGCAAGAAAAATGTCTCCAAGCCCTTTTTGAAGGAAAAGACGTGTATGCAAGTATTCCCACTGGATACGGGAAATCATTAATCTTGTGGGGAATTAGTGAGGGGCCCACACTGTCACTGTTCTCTTCCAGAATTTATTTTTAAAAAGCAGACAGAACAATATCAGGCGAGGTCTCTGACCGACCAAAAAACTACCCACACTGGTTTTCTTATCTCATGAACACACCTTCATCAAAACGTAAGTTGATTGGCTTTAAAGTTCTTCCCAACAAAGATAAACAAACTGATTTATCGGAGCGGACAGATCGTGACACTCGATTTCCGGCAGATAATTTTGAATCATTACAATACTAATAATCCTGTTTCCGACAATCTTTTATGCAGCCCCAATCGTCGCCGATGAGCTGCTCTCGCGTCCACGTGGCAGTAGTAAAATAATTGTGATTTCACCGCTTCAAACGTGATGGTTGAACGAGGAGTAGGATTCGCTTTGACGGGTGACAAGAAAACGGAAGAAGAAGAGGATTTCGGGCTGATAATCTTTCGAGTCGTAGAGTTCACAATACAAAGATTAGTCAGAAGAGCCCTTCGTTTCTTTATTGTCGACAGGCAATTTCTGCAAATGTAAGCGGAATCTATAGACACTTTACACTCCAGCGACAGCTACTCCTCCCGGACGTTAAAACTCGAGCGAGCTCTTCTGTCCGTCAACGGGATTTTTATCTGAGTTCTGAACGATGTTTTTTCCCACAAAGAGCATACAAACTCATCGCTAATTCGCGCACATGTTATTGTGCGAGCAATGTGTACTTCGAGAGAAGGCTTAACATTTCAGAAGTCCCCGCGAAATTGATAGCCAATCGAAACCCGTGGTTCACATGATGTAATGATCTACGAGTAACAGCCAATGAGATCATTTTCCGCACATTCCGGGAAAAATCACGTGGTCCCCATACACGATTAGCAACGGTAAATCATCACAGACGCTCCCTCCCCGATATTTTCGAGGGGATGGGGCGGCTGTACACAGGCTATTACAGACCGAAAAAAGAAAAATCAAATTTCACTGACCTGGTCGCCCTAGGCCATGCGCACAAGGCGAACTCGGCGACGAAGCAGGACTACTGCCGACAGAAGATGAAGACTGATCCGACAACGCCCGAAAATCAAACGAGTGCGAACTGAGTTTAGGTGAGGCCGGCCGAGCGGAATCTGGTGACGACACCACACGCTTCAGTGAACTTGTTCTCCGAAGGCCGTTTCCTGGCGACAGACTTGCTCGGCGACCAAACCGCTTCCAGAACGGTTTTTGTTTGGGATGTTTATCTGCCGTTTCAGAGCCAGGAGATGGAAGATTTTGGGGAGCAGTTCCTTTTCGTCCGCGTTTGAAAGACAACTTCTTTCGGACTTGTTTACTAGCAGAGAGCACCCTTTTCCGGCCTCCTCTTTTAATGGATGTCTTGGCGAGTTCAGTCGCGCTGAGTTTTACTTTTGTTCCACCGCTGAGGATAAGCTCAATGACTTCGCGATGACTGAGCCCCTTCACAGACTGCGAGTAAAATAGCATGATGTATTAAGGGAAGTGACTGTAAAGTACCATTTTCTGGAAATTTCTAGAATGCCTAGTCACGGTAACGTGAATACTGAAATGTTCTGATATCATACAATGGAACTTTCTAGAACATTCTATTTGGTTACGTTTCTAAGTTAATTTTTCCAGAATACTTTCATTGGAAGGTTCCGGGATGTTCTTGAATGCGTTATAATTGTTTTACGAGGACTCTCTCATCTGGGAGTAACTGTTGCTTTTGTCTACAGAAACCGACTGTCTGGAGCGCTATACCTGCTCTATAGACAGAGAGCTATTGTAGTACAACCGTTGTAGTCAAAATGCGACTCTTTTCGCTGTAAAATGCTTTCTGCACTTACGTCAAGATCACTGGAGCAATAAACCTTCTGTTACAATACAGTCCGACCGACGAAGAAGTAACAAAAAACAGTTAAAGACTTTAACAATAAAAACACTGCAGCACAAACAATTTATCAGTAGTAACACAACGCGACTCTCTCCTGATAGCCGCAGTGACTGCGTAACGCAATTCCACAACCGTTACGTGACACAGCAATAAAAAGTGCAGTTAGAGCAAGAAAAGTAAGAAAAAAATAAGCCCCAGTTGCCTAAGACCGGGCTAAAAAGAAACACGAACGAGATAAGTTACTAAAAGAATACTGCTTGGATGACACACAAAGTTCTCACAGAGTTGGTTCCCATTTGCACTGCGAGTAAAGCTGATCACCGTCTTTTGCGTTTCTTATCTGCAAATCTCTTAACGAGATCAAACGTACCGTTTAAAGATAACTCCATCTTTAATTAACAATCGCGGCTTTATTTCCTCGAATTAATGGCCTCAATATTACAAATTTCAGTGAAATTCGAGTCTTAATACGAACCTGTACGCTATTTGTACTAATAAACTTTATGAAGTTAAATGTAAATTAAGCACTCGAAAGAAAATTACCTCATCGTTCACGTGCGTCAACAAGTCGCCAGGCCTAAGACCTGACTCAAAAGCAGCACTGCCATGGTCCACATTCTAAAAACACAGAAAACAATTTTGCGATTAACATTCGGGTAGCGTCTAATTTGTAAGAAAAGGTTGCAACACGATGGCTTGCTGGCTTTACATAACTTTCTGTCCGAAATGTCTGACCTTATTCATTGAATAAAGCTATTCTTTGAATCATTGAGTGTTGACGAGGGCATATGTTTCGTCATTATGTTTGTCATCTAAAATTCGCAATCTTCACTTAACCCGTTAGAGTGGAGACAAAAAGATAACGCTCGAAAGGTCAGTTTTAGAAACTCTTCGCATAAGCCTCAAACAACTACGTTATTTTCAGGGTGGAGATATGCCTAAAACTCTCTGGGGCTATAGGAATCAAAGGCACATTTGTTTCCCTAGATAGAGTAAAGCATGCTATTTTAGACTTGAAATAAATTCATCGGTTGTGATGTATACTGCAAACTATCTCTACAGCAATGAACTTCATTCAATCATCGACGTCCATAAAAAGTTCTCCAAAGCGCATATTAACTTACCGACACAAGGTGATGGACTTTGTAGTAGTTCGTATCTCCGAAGTAAACACGAATAGCCTGTAGAGTGAAGCCGTATCCACGAGGTCCTTTTTCGATTATGATTGGTGGACGAAGACAGAGCGAAAGCGTCTTGGCTCTTCGGCGACTGGTCGGAGAACGAGGGGGAGTCCGGGACTGAGGCGAACCAGGAGGGCTTCGTATGTGTTGGCTTAAAGCACGATATTCATCGTCAGACACTGTCAGAAAAATGAAAAAACCAATGAATCAAAAGTACGCGAAGGATAGAGCAAAAACATGGCTCAATGGTGAAGTACATAAGTAACTGAAGACCAATACTCAAGTTATACTTACAAGATAGCTCCAATTTGGGTACAGAAGAGAGTCTTCTGTCCCCCTCGTCAGGGAGGGAATGGGTTCGCTGGACCCGATATTTGTCCTCGGTCTCAGTCTCCACAGTAAAACTGGCCGCGGGGGGATTAGTAGGGCTTTCCTCGCCAGCCGATAATGACAGCAGCGGGATAGGCACTGGGGCCAAATCTGAATAGGCTTTCTTCCTTAACCGGACGGTGGGAGGGGTGACTGGGGAACCTGGGTTGAAATCTCGTTCCATTGGGGTTAAAGAGCTAAAACAAAGAGAGAATAATCGCGACAGTTTAGTTTTAAATCACAGATTCAAAAATTAATTTCTAAGATTAATCCTCCGATCAGAGAAAAGAGTACCAAAACAAAAGAAAAAAAAAAAAAACAAACAAAATTGGCTTACTAATTTGTCGAATTTGTTCGACTATGGGGACGATCGGCATCGACGCTGGTATCACTTTGTTGCCTTCGGAAATCTTCGTCGCTGTCTCGGCTCTCCAAACGAAGTGGTGGGTTTCGTTCCTGACTCCTCTTTCGGACAGTCGGCGGGGAACATTCCGAGCTCATGTCACTTCGGGGAGTCGACACCTCTTCGCCCGAATCTTTAACGTCAGAAGCCTTCTTTGTGTTGTTCGGGGACACGGGAGATGAAGGACCCGGCGAGGTAACCGGGGATGGTACCGGGGACCCGCAGATGCGGGAATACCGGGGGGAACATGTGGAGAAGTTACTGAACTCGCTCGAAAAGCTGCTGAATTCTTCATCTTCATCTTCGTCATCATCAGTCTCCAACTCGTGGTTGTAGCGATCTGTGCGAGCTGCAATAAGGAGCGGAATTATTAGAAACTTATCATGATGGCATTTCAGGGGTTGTGCGGCACATTCGAGCAAGCTACTGAAGCGAAGACTTTATGTTTTTACATTCAAAAAATCGAGAGGCTGGTGCAAGTTTTCTTAAGCAATCACATTCCGACGAATTTGAAATTGCTCTTCAACAGCGTTAAGTCTGACTTACTATCGAAGTAGCTTGTGTCGTCCTCGCCATCAAGTTGAGGTATAAATTCAGCTTTTTGTCTCAGCAACGCCGTCCAATTTAAGCCTTGAAAGAACTGATGCTCCTTCACTACGTGTGAACCTGAACAGAGAAGAAAAAAAATCCATAGAAGATATCATGAAAGGGCTACACGAAAAACGTCAGAGCTATTTTAGACGAAATTCTCATACTCTCTGATTAGAGATGCTACCGAGGAAATGTTCGAGTGACTTGTACTATTTCAGATTAGACGAAAATGATTCGGAAACTCGTCGGGAATTTCAACGAAGATTCACCGAAAATGGGCGGGAGACGGGACTGATGTAAACATTACGGATAAGTTATGAATCGTGTCACAAACCAAAGACATGCGTGAGGATATTTATTGATTCACAGCCTATACTTGCGCAGAATTCGACATCTATGTACTACAGTTAAAAGCCTGCGATTTCTAAGGTACATGCAAGACAAAGGTATCATGGTAGAGAAAATTGACCCCAGACCCTCTCTCACCTGCAGTGCCCAGACGCAATATAGGATCCTGTTCCAATAATTTTGTCACCAGATCCCGAGCGTCTTCGGGAGGAGCCTCGTCTTCACCCGGCCATTCAATAGCACCTAAAATGATTAGGACGTAAATAACTGTAAGAAACCTAATCAAGGATAAACCTCCTCTGGCTCAAAACGTCCGAAAACAGAAGGAATTGTCCGACAACTGACAGAGCTGTTCGAAAACAGACGAAACTGTCCGCAATTTAACAGAACTATCCGAAAAACAAACGAAACCGTCCGAAATCGGACAGAACAGTCCGAATGCACACGGAATCGTCCGATTTTAAACGAAACCGTCGGAAATCGAACGGAACCATCCGAATTCAGACAGAAATCTCCGAAAAATCACGCTCGGACTAGATTGGTTGGTTGCCTCATAAATACTGTAAGTGGTTTCTGCTACAGCGAAGGAAATTCTGTACGTGGAAATATGTACACTGTCTTACAACGTGAAATTGTTATTTGTATTCACTTACCGCTCAAAGTATCCGCAAACAGCTCTTCGGGCGTGTCACCATAGAAGGGGGGTACTCCAATGAGGAATTCGTAGAGTATGATCCCTAAGGACCACCAATCCACGGGCTTGCCATAGCCTTGCCTCAGAATGACCTCAGGCGCCAGATAATCCGGGGTACCGAAAACTTGCTGGTCCATGAACTGTTTTGTTTCTTGGGCGAGTGAGTGTTCATACATGTGTGTGGTGCCTTGGGGAGAAATATATGTGAATATCGGCCAAGCAAAAATGAGAGATAGCGTTTATTGACCCTTTCACTTCTAAGAGTGACTAGCATCTAATTTCTCCCTACAATATCACCCAGGAATCACACATTAAGGTCACGAGAATACAGGAAATGATCTCGCTGATTCGAGAAGCAACTGGTTGTTAACCAAATTCTCTTTATGGGCGCCTTGGAAAATGTATAGAGAATACCAAGGAGAATTTACATACTGATCTTTAGGTGTAAAGGGTTCATAGTTGCTACAACGGACTCTGGATCAAAAGGGTTTCGAGATGAGCTGTGGAAAATGAAAACAAAAGTAAATCGAGAACTTACTGTTCATGAGTCCAATCTTTGATAATCCAAAGTCTGTGAGTTTTATGTGACCCAGTGATGTAATTAAAAGACTGCGGAGAAAAATCCCAAAGGATGGCAACTTCAGTTCACAAATAAAGGAATCAATAAGTAAATAAAAAGATTTATTACACGCACTTGTGTCCCTTTGAACTTCGGTCGTATAATAAATCTCTTATTAACCAAGCTTGCTGGGGGACTGTACTGGAAGAATATCGGCCCTCGGTCTTTTTTGTACGGACCTCGCTGCGCTCGGTCCGTACTGTCAACACCTCGGGCCGATATTTTCCCATTACGGCCCTCGTGCTTGGTTAATAAGATATATTTATTTTATCTCTACGTTAATACGTGCGCGAAGATTGGTCAATTTAGCGGGCCGTATTTTACAGTGTGACCTGCTAAATTCAAAAGTTTGTTTTGAAGTGAAATCTTTTCCCTCTATCTTAACCCAGAGATATACTAGATTTTCTAATATCTTAGGCTGCGTTCACTCTTGGAGCTCGAACACTGTGCCCGTGTACAATTCTTGATGGGCACTAATGCGACACAATTTTTTTCCAAATACCCACGCCAGAATTCGGGCAGTGAACTGGGCACTGATATATCGGGTACTACTCACTAGTGCCCAGGCACTAATGCCCGGGTACCAAGTGTGAGCGCAGCCTTAGTTGTCTGTTTTCTCGGTCCGTACTCTCGGTTTTTTTTTTTTTTGTCAATCGGATTTATGGCTCACACGCTTCGACTTACTTTACAGACCACGAACTCGGTTAGTAAGAGGTATAAATATATTTTTAATCAAACTTACTTGTCAGGTTTAAGATCGCGATGAATGACTCCATAACTGTGCAAATATTCCACGGCTAATAATGTCTCAGCTACGTAGGCTCTGACGATTAGAACAAAACACAGCGTCACTGAGTAAAATTTAATCCTCTATCTAATGCTTGGGGGTAAAAGTTCGTAAAGGTCAACTTGAACAAAGTGTGTACAATCCTTTAACAACTATACATTTCGCATTTGCTTTGCACGTTTAGTAACAGAGTCGCAATAGGTTTTATTCTTATATCTGACTGGTTTAGAGGATGACGCGTGTTTTCTACACCAATCAAAGAGCGAGAAATCAGGGCTCGACACTAACTTTTCAACTTACTAACCAAGTGGCTAGTGACAACTTAGATGTTGCGACAATTTCAGTTTGTTTACTAGCCAAACTGGCAAGTGGAAATCGAAACCACTAGCCAAAACTGAATTTCTTCTAGTCTGTGGCTAGTTGGCTACCGTTAGTTTCGAGCCCTGGAGATGATGAAGCAAAACCAATGCAATAAGAAATTACTTTCTACAAACAGTTAAAAATCGCTATGTTCTACGTTTTTAGAGAATTACAAAAAAGCTGTTTACCTGGCGAGATCCATTGGTAGTGGTCCACTGTTTTTCAAAAGCGACGCACAGTCCCCTCCCTCGACATATTCGAGCACCATACAAAGGTGTTTCTTTGTCTCAAAACAGCACCACATTCCAACCACAAACGGATTCTCGGCGAACGTCAGAATGTCTCTTTCTGCGAACACTTGTTGAACTTGATTTCTGTGCAGCATAAGTTGTTTGTTCATCTTCTTCATCGCAAATCTCATCTGTGTTTGTTTGTGTCGCACTAAGTAAACAGCACTGTAATTTGAAAGAAAAAAAAACATCGAGTCAAACAACCGTCGCCAGCTCTCCCCTCCCTGCATCAACAGCCAACTTGATGCAAAGGAAAACCTATCGTTGCATGAGACGGATATGTATGAGAGGGGAGGGGGGGGGGTAAGGCTGTAAAGTGCCGGACTGCAGTGCAGAGAAACGAGGGCTCTAGCTCCACCCTGCATCAACACTCTGGGTCTTAAGATAACAGGGGAGAATGTGCTGCCTTTGCTATGACTTCTGCAAATGGTTAGACATTCCAGTCTTCTCAGATAAGATCGATAAACCGTAAACCGTCTCTTGCATCTTTTCTGTATTAGTAACCAGGGGACGTTAAAGAGCCCACTCAATTATTTCGAAGAGTAAGGAACGCAGTTCGCGTTGTTGTGGTCTGGTCTTGTTAGCAAAACTTCCAAAGTTATGGGCAACCTGAAAAATTTCGTTTCAAAATTGTGAACTGCTCAGTGCAGTCCGGCCAAAGTCCACCGCAAAGTGTTGTAAAGCGCATCAGACCATAGTAGTATGGACAACGCGCTCTAATAAAAGCACCACATCATTATCACTTTGTGATTCACAAATATTTCCTCTTTTCTTTAATTTTTGTCTTACCCGTAAGCACCGTTGCTTATGAGTTTGATGTATTCAAAGTCCTCCTCTGTTGGCATTTCCCCTATTGTCGAGTTAGAACTGGCAGATTTCTAACAAGAATGAAATCATACAAATAGAGATTAGTACACTGTATCAGAGAAAATACATAGAAAATTACCATATTGACACACGAATATTACACGAGAGGGAGGGCTCAGAGAACTGACTGATCGGGTTAAACAGAATAAGAGAAGGACAAAGACACCTACAAAGAGATAACTAAATGAAACTGAAAAAGCCCAGCAAAAGATGACAAAGGGGTAGGAGACAGAATCTACGAATCCAGGAGTGACGAATTTCAGATCATCTAAAATTAAAAAGAGAGATGAAGATTCATACCAATGGTGACTCAGGTTCTTGCTCCTCTGGCGAGCCTGGTCTGTTATCTTCAGTCTGTACTAGTCCTAATTTGAGTTTAACGTAGTTCGTGATATCTGCCTTCTCAGTGACCCTCTCCAGCTCTCGTCCTTCTTCTTCAAGCTCGTTGTAGAAATTTTCAGGACTGAATTCCTAAAATGCAAGCGAGATTCTAATCAGAAGAAAAGAGACCTTCCAAGGAGAAATTTTGTTCCTCTCTGCTGTATGCGCTCAAGCTTTTCAATGTTTCTCTTGGTAAGTGGCGACCGCACAATTGTTCCATATTCCACTTGCGATCTCATAAACGTGCAGTACAGCATCTTCAGAGTTTCGGTGTCCTTCCAGCCTCTACAGGTTCTCCTTAGCAGGCCCAAGATTCTATTAGCTTTACTTGTAATAGCATCAACATGAGAGTTCCAGGAAACTCATAAACTTCCTCTATGTCCGATCCGTTTAGGGTGAAGCTAGATCTGAATGGTTACTTCTTCCAGGTAATGCGCATCATCTTGCATTTCTTAACATTGAAGGTCATCCTGTTCCGTTGACTCCAAGCGCACATACTATCCAGATCGTCTTGAAACATCAGTAGGTCATTTGGACAATTACCACCCTATACGCCTTGCAGTCATCTGCATAAAGTGCCACGGAGCTTTCTTGGACTACCTCAGGCAAATCACTGATGAAAATACCAAAAACAAGGGGGCCAAAATGGACCCCTGCGGCACGCCAGATGTGATATTTAGCCAGCTAGAACTTTTGCCATCCAGCTAGAACTTTTGCCATCTAGCTAGAACTTTTGCCATCCACCACAAAGATCAGGAGAATGAAAGAGGAATGGTGGAGGGAAAAAGCTAGACTGATGCAGAGTGCGGCAAACAAGAACGATATGCGTACTTTCTATAATGAGCTAAAAGCTATCCATGGCCCTTGCTTTAATAGCATGCTGGCTGTTCGTAGCTCGGACGGGCGCATCATTCTCAATGATCCTACTCTCTGCTTGCGACACGATAAATGATCACCACACCAGGCTAGCAGTGACCCTACTATTCCAAAGTTACACAGTTTATACACTAGAATCTTGTGCTTCACGCGTTCGAACGCCTGAGCAAGTCCAAAAACACAGCATCAACCTGGAGACCATCATCCAGCGCTTTGCTCCACATATGGTTAGTGAGGACCAGCTGGGTTAAACAGGAACGCCCTTTCACAAAGCTATGCTGCCAATCAGTAAGAAAAGGTGAGACATGAGAGTAGATGGCACGATGGACAATTCTTTCCTGAGATATTCCTAAGATCGATAGAAGGGAGATGCATCTATAGTTCTCAACATTCTCCTTGGCATTGTCTTTAAAAACTGGTGTAACATTGGCTCTTTTCCAAGTCATGGGGACTAGACCCAAACTAAATCACTGGTTAAACAACTTGGTCAGGGGCATCGATAACTCCCGGGCACATGATTTCAAAATTCTTGCAGGGATGCCATCGATACCAGTTGCCTTGTTAACTTCCAGATTAACTTAAATGTCCTCAACCTCACTCTGAGTGGTGGAAATTTCAAAAAGAAGATCTGGGTGCATAACATCTACTTGGAGATCTTCACAGTTTACGCTATCTGAACTATACACAGTACTAAAAAATTCATTAAACAGCGCAGCCTTGTCGACAGATTCTGATGCGGATCTATCTTTATAGGTGACAACTGCAGGCAGCCTCTTTGTCTTTGATTTAATGGCATGGAAGGACCAAAACTTCTTAGGATCTACTTTCAATTTCTCTGATAATGATTGGAGATACTGATGATAACTTGTGGCAATACATTTCTTGGTTTGTTTCCTCAGTTGCTTAAAGCTCATGAAAAGATCTGTAAAAGGAGTAGACTTCATTCCGTTCCACAGCGTTTTCTTTTTTCTGATCAACTTCATAATTTCAAGGTGACCTTGAACGACTTCTAAGTGTTATTCGAGGAACATGCCTGTCTATAGCACATAATAGCAGGTCCTGGAATTTAGTCACACTGTCATTTAAATCACTGGGTAAAATCAAAGAGTCCCAGGGGATATGTTTCAATATACTCCTGAGACCATCAAAGTCAGCTTTCTTGTAACAATAGACTTCCCTATTCACATTCTTTTGACGTTGGAAATTTGCATTAATAACAAAAGATACAGGAAGATGATCTGAATTACAACTATCTGGATGGACAGAGGTATCAGAAACAAGATGTTCATTATTCGTGAGAACCAAATCAAGAATGTTTCCAGAGTCGGTTGAGTTGGCTGAATGGCGAGTAATATTAGAGTTAACTTAAAGAAGAAAGTAATCTTGAATCACACAACAAAAGTCAGCTGTATCTGGGTCAGAGACATACCAGGGTGTACCGGTACGCAAGTCTATAAAAGGAAAATTAAAATCTCCCACAACAATCAGATTAGAAAAATTTGTAGATGAATAATTGTTCAGAAAGGCCCCAAAGTTTGCCGAGCAGTCCAAATTTTTCCCGGGTGGACGATAAAATACCGAGAACAAAAAGCAGAAAGCGGGTCTTGTGTAAATAAGACAAGCCAACATTTCCACATCTGTCTCAAGGTCCCTCCTTCGAAAACAAGTGAGGTGAGATTTGACAGCAAGTAAAACACCACCACCGCGCCTTCCACACCTATCTTTCCGATAGATATTATTGCCATACAGCTGCAATTCACGGTCAAGCACACTACTATATGGCCAAGTCTCCGTAACAGCCACAATGTCAAATGAATCAGACATCAACAAGACTTGCAAATCTAAAATTTTGTTTCGTAAACTCCTGGCATTGAGAAGTAAGCATTTAGGATACTTATTTTGTCGTTCCCATGTACCAGAAATATTGGATCCGTCACATGCATCGTTTTCTAAAATATCCTCGGTGGGCTCCAGTGAGCTTGACTCGGCGAAGAACGAGTCAGAGAAATTTGGCAGGCCACAATCACAACAGCACTATGGAGCATCCGACATCCGAAGACGCCAATGAATTGTAAATTATAGGGCTCATTCCAATGCATTAAATGTGATGCCAATAACAACATTCTTTGCATAATATACCTTACTGGATTGTCGCAGACTTTGCAAGGGAATTTATATTTCGATTTAGAGTTCGAGCCAGATCTCGAATTGGAGACAGGATCATCGGCCTTCGCCTGATAACCAGGGTTAGGATGAATATCGCCATATGTTAAGAGAATATTTTCCAGCTGAAAAGCCACAGTAGAATTGGAATAGTAATTGACAGACCGCGATAAGAAGCGCTTCCTACGGTGAACGCGGACAAAAAAACCAATATGGTGGTGCGAGTTTACAGCCACTTGGAAGTGAAAGGCACCGAGAACAGCCGGAGAAATTCTCTCAAGGACCATCAGATCATCAGAGACATTCTTGAGAAAAACTTGATTCAACAAGGTAACTACAAAAAACCATGTTAAGAGGATGCAGATCCTTAAAGGAGCAAAATGAGCGGAGCCAAACGAAACACGTCCGACCGCCATACACGAGTGCATTAGGCAGACGATCTGTCATTTTCTCTGTCTGCCTGTCAAACTATCTATCTATACCTTCGCTCCGACGAAGGGCTAACGCTCGAAACGTCAGCTTTTGTAATGGTTACGGTGGCCAATTTACCATTTCAACTTTGTTGATGTATCCAATCTATCAGTCTGACGTTTCGAGAGTTATCATTAGTCCGGGCTCTTTGCCCTTGGCTCTGACGAAGGGCAAACGCTCGAAACGTCAGCTTCGAAAGTCTTTACAGTTGCCAATTCATATAATCAACTAAGTTGATAAAACCATTACTACCTTGTTATACTACCCGCCGACGCAGCAAAACAGAAACTACCCCATTCAATCATTTATCCATCAATCTATCAGTATTTCTGTCAATCTGTTAATGTCGGAAATTCTTCCACTCTGTTGCCATTTCTTACACTTTTATCGTCCGTTTAGTAGCTGATTTACTTAATAACAAATTAAATGTATTTACCAGACATTCTAAAAGCCGAGCTGGTCTTGACATGATCATTAGTAACTTTCTCACGAGTCTCTTCACAGGAGAAATATCCAGGTTTGTCTTTTGATGGGCCTGTAAGCAAACGATGACGTCAAGTAATAGGAACACACCAAGTCTTACACAAACAACAACTACAACAACAAGAATAATGATGATGATGATGATGATGATGATGATGATGATGATGTTGAAGGCGATAGTGAGATTGTTACCATAACAATAATGTTGAAACATGAAACGATGGCCCACCTCGATAAGCAGCCGTTCTAGCTTATCAGACAGGTCATAAAAGTACAGACTTGTGAGAGCGCTATCCTTGGACTGTTTGAGGCTATCGCGAGCTGCTTCAAGAACCTGAAAGGAGGTTTGACTTCAATCAGATTAAAAATTGAACATGGAAAAACCACGCGAGAGAGCTGAAAACACATGGTGCGACTTCCCTCCATCGAGTGAATTCCCACTCGCAAGGGATGGTAAAAAGATTACACACTCTCATCAGCCCCCTTTCCGTATTTTGTCATGCACCCCTCCCTACCCCAACAGTTTGCTGGTATCTCTTGTGGGAAGACGCAATGAGAAGCTATAGTCTTTTGCTCAAGAACACAATGACCAGACAAGGGCCTGAAAATGAACCTTTGACTTCAGAGTACACATCGCTGACCGTATAGCCCACATCTTCAAAATATATGGTATATAACGGCAACAAAATTCTACCTGATTCCACACAAAGTTTAAAAGTGCGTCACAGCTATGATGGTTCAGTGTTCCCTCTTCGGCGTATTCCTCAATCAGTTCCTAAAAAGACAACAACATCAATCAAACAAACCATCAAAAAAAAGGGCGCGACGCTCCAAATATTGCCAAAACAACAACAACCAAATGTGTAATGAAATGATGGCACTTACACTAAGATTCTCTTCCATTTGCGTTATGGCCTGTAAAAAGAGGAATTGTGCAAAGATATATAAATATAAAATAAATGAAGCATCAGCTACGGATGCCAAGTTACCACAACACCAAGGAATCATAAAAAAGGGTTCTGCTCGTTTATCGTGTGAATACTAAAGTATTTAAGTCATTTCAAATACAACAACAGGAAAGCGATTTGACGGCCAACCTTTAGGGGAACACATCCTCATGATGAACCAATCACAGCTGTTGAAAACCAGCCAATCGCAGCGAACTAATTACTACATGAGGTGACACTTAGCAAGTGGACATCATCGAACGAAAACTACGTATTGCAGCGTGTAGTTGAAACGTGCGATTCAGAACGGAAGCCATAGAACCCAGACACACGGTACAACTTCAATACTAGAGAGATTTAGCACCGCGTTTACGCGAAACGGCAAACGTCAGCTTGCCCGTTCACGTTTCACGTAAAACAGCGTGAACCTTGCTGCTTTGGCTTTGCGTGAGATCACGGCATGGTAGATTTGAAAGCGCCGTTGTACGACTTACGAGGAATAGTTTTGGTGCCCTGTTTCCGGCACTTATCTTCTATTCCGTGAGGAAAAAAAAGCGGAGAAAATCTTTCGTACACGGCAAACGCGAATAGGTTACTCTCACGTAAGAAAGCAAAGCACATCCGGTAAACGTGAAAGAATGGCGGGAAAAACAAGGTCACGTGGACACTCTTGCCGTTTACGTTTCACGTAAACGCGATGCTAAATCTCGCTACTAAAAAGACGTTAGCTGACTTGTAACAATAATCTCACCTTAGGAAATCGCTCCCTATAGAGATTATTCAACAACTGAAGTTCGTCTTCATGAATGAGGGGAGATCTTCCGGGACTACAAAACACAACACATACCACTTAGGATTCAATTGTAACTTCTGCTAACGATATCGATCCACGAGCTTCTGTGCACTGCCACTCAAAAGTTAGTTCACAGTCTCCACTCGCAACTCAATCCTCGATCCTCAAAAGTAGCGAAAATCGGGAATCGAGAATCTAATTTCAAATCGCTCAAAGAATTTGAACTCGAAAAGATTCAATTCTTGAAAGCCTAAGGAACGATCGCAAACGTCTCGAGTCCTAACACGACCCTGGATCTTCGAAGTATTCGAGGCTCGAGCATGGAATTGCGAGGGAAATTTATTTTAATCTAAAAAATAACGACATTACATACCAGAACAAAAGTTACCAACCTCAGACTTCGTGACCTTTGCCGTGGTTTTGGTGACCTGCGACCTCCAGTATCCTCTTCCTGATCGCTGTCAGCACTACAGAAAAAAATTAAAATTAACGAATTTCTGAAAAAGTGCTCATTTAAAGTCTTCGCTACGTTTTCTACAGAAGCCAGTTCCAAGATCATTGGCTTCAATTAGAAATATTAACCCTTTGCACCTTCCCATCAGTATGCATATTCTCCCAACGGTTCTCTGTAGATTTCCTAAGGTGCTGGTAAGGAGAATTTGTTAAACAATCAAGAGCTTCTTATGTTGGTGATCATTTCCTTTATACTCCTGACCTTAATGTTTGATTCAGGGGTGATATTGTATGGAGAAATTAAATGCAAATCACTCTTAAGGATTGACCTAGTTACCTGAAGTGTGCTCCATAGTTATACTCATCACAATAGGGCAATCCTATCTGCAACTTTGGAAAAACAAAAATAGATATTAATAGAATATAATATTAAGATAGAAATGAATTAAATAACCTAGAATTTAGTTGTAGTTCTTAGGAGTGGTACCCACCTGATGAAGTTTTTCTTGTGACGATGCCAGTGACTATAAAACAACGTAAAATGTATGAGTACTTACGCAATAACTACATATATGTCCCACAAGTTTACATGAACAAAATCTAAGTAAACGTTATTATTCCTCAATTGCACTAACAAGTAGTTGGTTCCACGATGAATATCAAAACGAGTTAAACAATAAATTTACTTCTACATGGTTTCTGGTACATATTTCTCTGTTACCATGAGAATTCATCGTAATATACTACGAGTAGAATCTCAATAGCGCTGAGGCACGAGAGTGCAAGGTCTCTCAGGGGTCTGGGACTGAAATTGCTAATTTTCATGCCGGATCCCGAGCGGACCTCCCTCGCTTACTGGTAAGCTATTAATTGTTTGCGATACTTACAGAGTATGATGACGAACAAGGAGTATGTGTTCCATATCCTGATGATGATGTCAAAGATGCCACTGACCAGCGCCTTCCAGCCATGTCTCTGGAATGACAGCACAGCAATATAAAAAAAAATTGTCAAACCTAATCAAGGATTGGGCCGCTATTTTTTAAATGCAGCCGAATGCACTTACTTTAGCTGACAAATTAACATTCCTCCATGTTGCTGAAAACTTCTTTCACGTTGTTCTTGGCCAAACTGGCCAAATAATTGAGGGGAGCATGACTTTATGATACACTGCTAAATTCTCCCTTCACATTGTCTCATATTTCCTTATGAAACTCTGGGAGAATTTGATATTGCATCAAAAAATAAAGAGTACCTTTACAATTACATGGCAAAAATTTGAGCCTGTTTTACAATTTGATGATCTGAGTACACCAAAAAATCACTTGCAAATGATCCACAAAAGCATATTGCTTACTTTCTGATGTTTGAAAAAGCAAAATGCGCTCCAGAAGTGGTACTGTTTGAAGATGTGTGAAAGCTAGGACTGCCAACTGGGCTGTCAGAGCCTACAAGAGGAAAAAAATGCATTCAGTGTATCAATAACACCATCTCTTCAGTTATCATGAGCTCAGATTGGATGGTTCATGGCAGAAAAAGGTCAAGTCTGCAGATAAGCTTAAGTGTAAGTTTGTCTTAAGAGTACTGAATGTAAGAGTATAATAAAACAGTGTCCTCCTGAATGACCCTTAAGTGCATTATAGATTACTCCAAACAATGACATGATGTCAGCACTTACCTTGTGTAAATGATGATGAAAATGGCGAGTATGGTCGGCCTGAGTTTCCGGATGACATGGAGCTTGTTGCGGTATAACTTCTACCAGCTTTCCGAGTTCCAGCATTGAAGGAGCGAAAAAAAAAAAAAAAAAAAAGAAAGAACATTGATGTTAACATACCAAGGAAATTCTCTGACTCGTTTCCAAACAGTGTATGGCATTTTAACAGCATCTTTGCCTTTTGAAGACCTCTGCTAAATACATGATGTCCATCCCCAATTGAATACATACAAGTATAAAAACTTGCAAACTATCCTCTGACCCTTTCCCATCTTTTAAAGACAACATTGGAACTTTTTAGACCTTGGTGCACTCCTCCTAATAGTGCTTCACCTTTAGAAAGTCAGCCACACATGTTATGATAGAATATGCAGCGTAGACAAAGTTCTTGGGTGCTCAACTTAAATAAATGTAAAGGAAAACTGTTCTGAGACTTTTCTAGAAAACTTGGAATTCTCCTCGAAACTTTACTTCAAGCAGATTTTAACTGTTGTTTCACCCTGCAAGCGCAGGAATGGAGTGCAAAAAGCTTATGGAATGGATTTAAAACACAAGTTGATTAAGTTGAATCTCCACATACCAGAAATGATATCTACTGTATTAATGAACTAAAGAAAATCTAAAAAAATTAAGCTTTTCTAATTGCAACAATATAAATATATGTATCTATGTGTGTATCTAATGTGGAAGTAAAAATACTCACAAAGGTATTTGTGATTTGTCAGGACACATGTTGATTAATAGATAACTTGTCTCCAAAGACACAATGATTTCATACAGTTATGGCATAAAAAAACTTGCACAATGTGTATGACACATGTATGTAGAATCACTTGTAAAATCTGCCCCTCAAATTTGAGACAATAAAAAGTTGGCCTAAATGTGCAATTTAAGGACTTAAACCATTGTTGACTTCCAGAAATAGCAATTTTCTGATAAGTTTTACATACCCTAGACTTCCAGACAATTAAAACAATGCCTAATCCATCTAAGGCCTCAAATTACAACAAGAAACCACAATTTATCTAAGTTCTGTCAGGACCATTTTTTTTCCCTTCAGAAAGCAGAAATTCCAAATTATTTCTGCCACAAATAATTTGTCATTTGATAACTAACAGTTCTGAAGTTTATCAAAAAAACTCTATTCTGTATTTTGCCTCTAGATTTAATTTTAAATTCAGCTAATCCTTAAAAATTTACTTGATTATATCTAACAAAGCCTCAAGTTTTGGTGACAAAATAAACCAGGCCTGAAATTACTTTCAAAGGTAACATTCAGAAACCATGGTAACTTTGATTTGAAATACATACAAACCTTTTTGACATATTTACAGAAAATAGAAGCATTTAAGAACCAGTAAGACATCAATAAAATTGTGCAACAAGCATATTTTCATGTTATCTTAAGATACGTTGTACATAAAGAAATTCAGAAGAAGAATTGCTGTGGAGACATCAAGTCTGGTATATGACATTTGTCATTGTTATGTAATCAAAAGAAACCAAAATAATTACAAATGGCATGGCAATGCTAAGTGGACTGGGGATTCAAAATTTAGCAGAGAAAATGTCCTAAGTGGTAAAACACAGGGAAAAAACTCTGTATAACAGGAGAAAAAATCTACAAGTGCAGTGAAATTGTAATGATTGGGTTGGACTGTGAGGAAAAATAACAAAATAGATTTGAAATGTTGATACATTATCGCCCCGACAATACAAATTATTCAATTAATATGTAAAATTCATCAGTTTGGCCTTTTGTTGAAAACAAGGAATCACTTTAAACTTTCTAGCAAATACCATACAACACACATTTACAGATTTAAAACTAATTTTTACAACCGAATTCACATGTAGAGGTCATAAATCAAAAGTCACCACTGAGCATTTATTTTGAACAGTGAATTTGAAATATATTCTGTGTATTTTATGATTTACATTCTTCTTTTCTTTGTGGTAGTGGATAAAGAAATTATCGTACAACCCTGCTTTCAAAACATGACAGCAAAAATTAATAATAAAGCTGGTTTTAAAAAAATTCAAACCAAAGTAAAATTTGAGCCATGACAAAATTCAAATTATTGTACATGTGATTTCAGATTCATCTCAACCATGTTCATTTGACAAGTACATTTGTTCAAATCAGAAAATTATTTGGCACACTGTGTCTTTTATATGAGTTGTCTTAATAATAGTGTCTCAGTTTCAGCTCAAATTAGAAAGTGAAAAATATGCCTTTCATATCCTGAAGTGTGATTAATGTTTCAATTCAGCACATTACCTGAACAAAGTAAAATGCGATTATTCTGTAATAATTCTATTTGAAAAATTGTAATACTTAGCACTGAACATGTTCATGCAAGTACAATAATGTTATACCTGAATGTTATACATTCAGTTTTCAAACTAATAAAATTAATGTGATGTAATTGTGCCGACAAAAGATTGAAAACAATATTCACCAGCCTTTACAACCATCTGCTTTTCCACCCTTTCAAAGCTTGATATATACCAATTATTGAAATATGTGGGAAAAATAGTTGTATCAAATTATATACCGGTTCACTAACCTTCCAGAGATATAGCCAAGCAATTTTCCCTCACGTTGCTTGATAAGTTTTTGCAGTTTCAAAATTTTGCCACAATATGGCATACGACCACAAAGATGTTTACAAAGGCATTGATGCAGCAAAAAAGTGATTTATCAAGCTTAAAAAATACACAAATTACCCTCAGAAAAATGGACTAAAAGATCTCTCTGGACAAAAGATATTCCATTTGGTGATTTGCTACCATCATCATTCTGTTTCAATGTGATCAAAATTAACATATGACACCAACCTGATACTTGATAAAAGACCAATTAAAACACTTTGAAAGTAACTACCGAGAGATTTCACACAATAACAAAGCCTTCTTCAGATCAGACTGATGCAAATTTATCCACTAAAAAAATCAATTTTAAATAGTGCTTTAGGCAAAAAAGACTGAAAGACATGTCTACATGTATCCTGTAGCTTCCTCAAATTTATGAACATGTATCTAAATTTTACTCAAGAAAAAGGAAAAAAAAAAAAAAAAGCACCATGAACACCAATGCAGAAATACTTCACTTGGCCTAAACAAGATTGCATTACATAAGTTCCTATCACCAGTATATTTCCTAATAAAAAGAATCTACCAATAAATGTAAATGAGGAAAAAAAAAAAAAAGTTTTAAAGGAAATTATGCCAAAATGCATCCAATATACATTGGACTACAGCTGTAATCTATATCAAATCTAACTCAGACACGTAGCTTTTGCTTTTAAATTTTCTGGCAAATAAATACAACGAAAAATAAAAATTTTCCTTACAGTGAAGCTACTGAAAAAAAAAAAAAAACTACACAATTGAAACAGTGCTTGTGAAATAACATTAGGTTAATCCGAAATCATTCAAAAGTCACGTGATTTCTTATGTCTCTTTCAAATATACATCTTTGTTATAAAATGCATACTTTAAAATCCATTCTGCACACAAAATGATCTTGATAAAACAACATGTGCAATCTGACAAAAAAACCCTAATTGCAAGATTTGCACAAAGCTAGATAACATGAAATATGTACGTGTACCACTATGCCTTGCCTGTAAAAAATTCTTTTTTCATTTATTTTCATCTAACCACAAATTGATTGAATTAGTGTCTAAGTCATACCTTGGTCTCCGGCTTATGTCAGTCTGAAAACATACAAAATAAACAGCAGATTAACTGGGTGATTATTCTTACCGCAAGAGGCGACCCAGGGACTCTTTGAGGTGATCAAAAGGGAAGTTCTCCTTATACTAGCAACACTCTTTCAAGTAGAAAGGCCATGAGAACAAATAAAATTATTGAGAGGGGAATCCCGCTTGATTTAATATCAAGTTCTCTGAGCCAAATTGTAAGAAATGTATGGCTGACAGTAAGAGAATCTATATCTAAAATTTCAAGAGTACAGGACAGGCTGAAAAATACAAGACAAAATTATCTATAATTTTACAAGAAAGAAAAGATCATGTCTTGTGTGCAATATTACATGTAAACTTATCAGGACAGGTGATTGGAATCAGGTCACAAGACCCTTGTTCCTTGAAGTCAATTTGTTAGTTCTCAACTTCAAGGAGGTGAAGTGGTTCAGGACATCAAAAACAATGCCAGAGAATTCTGCCGCTACAAACTGGAGAATCCAAATATCTCGTATTCCATTTTGCACACTCTTACACTTGGTACAGTATGTGTATCATGTAACAAAAAAATCTCACACAAAAATATATATATATCTTATTAACCAAGCATGAGGGCTGTACTGGGAGAATATCAGCCTGAGATCTTGACAGTACGGACCGAGCGCAGCGAGGTCCGTACAAAAAAGACTGAGGGCCAATATTCTTCCAGTAGGGTCCCAAGCAAGCTTGGTTAATAAGAGATTTATTATACAACTGAAGTTTAAAGGGATACAAGTGCAGTATCATTTGGGACCATTCGGGACAGTGCCCAGTCCAATACTTCAAGAATATTGACGGTAATAGAGCATTTTGATCAGTTGATTTTAGTGATTGGCCCTCTGACTGCCTGAGTGACGTGTAATAAATATATATATATATATATATATATTTTTTTTTTAATGTGAAAGTACATGTACATGTATGGCTGGTCAGAAAGGAGAACTTGCCATTTGATCTCAATTGTAAAATGCTGTTGTTACCCATGGAAACCTCGTACATGAAGTAACCTTTTTTTTTTTTCAAGGTTACAATCAATATTCATATCAAATGTCTTCATCACCAGCTGCATGTTCTAACAATACTTGACTGCCATTACAATGGAATTTAATGACACACTCTAATATCAAATGATTCAGAAAAGCTCATATGCAATTGTGAAGTTGTTTTTACTACATGTAGAATAGGTCCAAATCAAAATAGTCATTCCCACCATCTAAAAAAGTTTTTCCTAATTCTTTTGCTTTGTTTTTTAATTAAAAAAAAAAAGAACATAAAGAAAACTAGGGAATAAAAAAAAGCCCAAGATCTATTTGAGTTAAATTTGACTCACACAACTTCCCGTGAGGTTTGGCTCTGAACTTCCCAATGAAGGGTTTGCCCTCATGCGAAGCAAGTTAGAAGTCTCATCCAGCCTTGCAGATGGAAAACCAAAACTCTCTCTTCTCTTGGATCTTGTTTCTGCAAACTCATCTGAGAATCTGGAACGATTGAGCCTGAAATTTCTTGGCAGTGAAGAAAAAACCTCTGAATTCAACTCTGTGCTGTTATCAAGTTCCGAGTCAGACTGTGAATAAAATACAATAAATACAGTAAACAATATTGACTAAATTGTACACTTGCAAAGAAATCCAAGGACACATACAAAAAAGTAATTTGCTGGTGAAAAAATGATCCATCAAAAACTCCTTGCTTAGTACTTTATATACATGTGTACATCTGTACTTAACACAAGTTTAATCAAAGTTGTAAATAGACAAGTAGCTGAAGGTTAATCAACAGTTCTATTCCATGGCTCAGAAAATTTTCAATACAAAAATCTGATCTCTTGCTACACATACACACACACACACACACACACACACACACACAAAAAGGATTAACACTGTACAGAGACAGAAATAATCTTAGCCTTTCTTATCTACATGTAGTTGCCCCAACAAACAATTCTAATCTTGATAATTAAGTATGTTTAAATATTTATTATGTTCTAATTTAGACTACATGAATTGATGCATTGTCACAGTGTTTTCAAGCAAGAAAATTGACTTTCACAAAACTTCTTTCCACGGAGAAGGAGTATACGGGCGAAAACAAAGAAAAATTAATAACTTGTTGTGGTTAACGGTGATGGAGAAATCCCTCGTCCAAGAGGAGGAGAAGTGAAAGTGTTATTTACTTCAAGTGCATGAAACCTGCAGTTTTAGATAGTAATTGAGAGAGAGCACTAAGCTTTTAAAATTTACCCTTAAAAGCCCACTAAATTATGGTTTCTTGACATTTTTTGAGATAAAATCATGACAAAACTGTCTCACCAAAGGTATTCCAATTTGAAGAACTCATTGTAAGTCAATCTATTTTACTTTTGAGTAGTCTTTGGTGAAAGTTGTGTGATTTCTCAGAAATGGCCAGTCCTGGCAAGTTTTCTCAAGAGGAATTGTTCTTTAATTAACCATTTACACCCTTACATCAGTATGCATATTCTCCATACAGTGTTCTCTATACATTTCCTGCAGTAATGGTTTGGAGAAATTTTTCAACTATCAAGAGCTTCTCTGGTGGATGATCATTTCCCTTTTTCTCATTACCTCAACGTTTGAATAAACAGGAGAAAAGGAGAAATTAGAGGCCAATCACACTCTTGCAGATTAAAGGGTTAATCTTCCAATTGGCATTAAATCCAAACTATAGAGTAAAGCTGCACGCAATGTATCAAAAGTACACTTGTAGTCAAAACTGTACATCTTCTGAATATAAATAAGACAGTTAGGATGTAGAGAATCACATGTAGAAAGGTGGCAAAGACATTTTTCTTAAAGCAGCAGTTGTTTTGCTTGATTGAGGATAATGGAATTAAAAAAGACGTCAGAAAAATACGTATGCAAATGATATACTAATTACAGATTTTCTAAACTTACTGACAAGTGATTTAATTAATTTGAAGATCACTTCATTCCACATCCCTAATAAACCTTTCTCAGCACAAGAAGCAAACAATCTAAAAGATCTCCCCAGATACTTTTATTCTACTTCTGGTGACTGATCACTCACTTGAAATAAGCTGGTAGATGCAAAATTCTTCGATGTAAATGTTGAAAAATAATTTACAGTAGTTACATAACCATTTTTGTCAAATATATTTAATGGTCTTTTTTGAATGAAAAAAGGCTTAAGATTAAACTCAACTCTAGTTTTAGCCACAATCATTTGAAGCAGGGACGCCGAGCTTTCTATTAAAAGAAAAACTAATAGACAAGGTTCTGCGAATACCTTGCTAAGTCAACAAAAGATATATTTTGTAAACATTGCTATGCGCCATATTTACACAACACGAATTTTAGGGTCATAAAAACAAATGATCGAAGACGATATTAGCGCGCGGAAAAAAAATTGCTTCCAGTTTAAAGAATTTTAACACCAAGAAATATGAACTTAAATGTTTACATTATGGATCAAGAGAGTTGTAATACTGTTTCATATCTCTCGACTTAAAGTATATTCCTGTTGTGAAGCAACATGTTTATGTATTGTACATAATCGATATTTGCATAATAAAAACTTCTTACATTTAGTGATTTACACACCATTTCGTTGCGCAAATTGAATGAGAGCTGAGTAATCCACCAATATACTTTTCCGTCAAACATTACCCTTGCATAATATTTTTCACACGCAACAGAGATCGCCGTACCATGAAGCCTCTATCGATCGACGGTTGTTTGTAAAACGACAAATATTACTCGCTAAGGAAAAAGAAGCGAATGATACTGTAGATGCGATCGCCGCCCACCACATTACAATTAATAATTCTGAAAAAATCCGGAAGGTAAGAAAAAATGGCAACCCCACTAGAAGGTAGTAATAAATAGAGCGAAAACAAAGGTGTGATGTAGAAAAAGTGTGCACACCGGAAAACACCCCCTCGTGTGTCGCAGGAAATGACTGAAACAGAAATAAAAGTTCGACTGGAATTCGGACGGATCAATTGCATTAAAAGGCGACTCGTCAAATTTCGAAATATCCTTAAAAGAGAGCAGAACTGTCCTTTTGGTAAAATAAATCTGAGGCATATTAGTTTCAGGAAACACGTCGAATAGACAAGATGACATTTGTAAATTAGCCCAAACCCACAACATTGATAGATATGGTAAAATCAAACGAAATTAATTTTAAAACAAGTGCTCTAAGTAGAAAAGAGAAGACTTTATATCAATGGAAAATTTAGATATGTCCAAATATTCGCTTGACTGTTACAAAAGATGAGTGCATTAGTCGAAAGGTACCGCGTGGTAATTAATATTTTTTCTGTTTCCTGTGATACCGGAGGTCCTGAAAAACATACGAATGTCTTCGCGACGAAAGAAAAACAATACCTTTTGAAAAACAACAAATGTTAGAAACTCAGGTGGAGGTTTTTGAAATGAAATAGCGACTACAAAAAATTGCTTGACTTCGTATAATTCGCCTAAAAGTAACTCGTGCGGATAATTAAAAATACGTGTACGTATAGGACTAAATTAGAGTAAAATGTGTGGCTCTGTTATTGAAGTCTCACCTCGTACGCTGGAAATTCCTCTCGCAGTTTGATTATGGAATGCATTAAAAGCTCCCTTTCTTTATCGTCTTTCACGTTGTAATCATGTTCTAAGTCGTCCTCTGTTAAAGACTGGAAGTAGTGGAGGGAAACATAGTCTGGAAACAGCGCGGTTAAATGCCCAAGAGACTCTTTCTCCAGATACGCACGCAAAGAACCCTCTCTGTCTTCGCTTGTCGTGCTGCCCTCGCTCTCAGTGCGATATACCGCCGGAGTACACTCTAATGCATCCATCTTCCCTCTAAACCATTCAATCATCCATGTTTACAGACCACGATGCCGCTAAATTTATCTTCAGCAGAACACGTCTGAAAATGTTCGCATACATTCCATGTGTAGTTCTCGCGACTCTGTAAAAATTCCAGTTTCTCTTACCCTGCATTTATGCCGCACGCGGTGTTTATATTAAATAACTCATGGCGAATGGACTAAATTGTTTAGCAGATAGAAATTCAAGTCGACTTCAAAGAGTTTAGTGAAAGGATTAAGAAGTTCGCATTTCACCCCTGCCACCTCTAGCAGTTTAACGTGGAGTGTGGATTAAAAATAGGACTATTCGATGATTCCCGGAAGGAGCCTTTTCTTGCGCCTGCGCACATTTTAGTCGAGTTTGTCTCTGACCATCAAATTGTCTATTCATTTCCAAAATGGCGGACAAAGAGTCGCGAAAACGTGCCAAAGACTCTGCAGAGAACAGCGCCGACGAACAAGAAGAAGATGATATGATTGGTCCCATGCCGGCACCTCCTCTCAAAGCTAAGAAGAGGAGAGGTAGTTTGTATTTTTATTTTTCAACAGGATCTTCGCGCTTTTTAATCAGTGTTTTCGATGGCACAAATGAAAACGTGGGAGTTTTCATTGTGATGGCTGTAATATACGTTTGAAGATGAAGTAGACGATGTGGGAACGTGACCATGCACGCATTTCAACTACTTCATCTATATGAGTAAAAACTTTTCTACTCGCAACCACAAGCTGAAATGCAGTTGCTGAACTATGAAAGTAACACAGGCCCATAACCAACAATTGGTGGTCTCACACACAGTTTGAATCGATCTTGAATTTCTCCTCAATAATCCAACGTTGGGCTATATTTCCAACTATTAGATTTTTTTTTCAGATCACTTGTACAACTGTTTTTTTTTTTGTAGTTCTAGAGTTCGAGAAGGTTTACCTTTGTAACCTCCCATCAGCCGAGTCCTACGAGAGGAGTTTTATGCACCGTGATCTCGTATCGCACATACTAGTCACTGTGTAAGTACCTGAGGCGAGATTTCTGCACGGCCCTATACGTCGTTATGCATACAGGTCTTGGTTAAAGAAAACAACAGCATGAAACAGCAGTTTGCTTTTGGGACTGTGGTTTTGTTTTACAATGTTATGGTGCTGTGTGGAAATCTTACCATGCTTTATCTTGGAATGGACTGGTAGATCTAGAAAACAATAATTTTAATCATATTTGACATTTCACAGAACAGAATTTCTTATTACTGCAAGTTGTGATGGCCACATCAAGTTTTGGAAAAGACAAGATGATGGAGTTGAATTTGTTAAGCACTTCAAAGCTCATATGGGTGAGAAAAGATGAGATACAATAGTATGAATTCAGTGTACTTACACTTTTCATCTGCACCTATTCTTGTAATATCTTTCTCAAGACATAATTATAAGGTAGGAAGCATACTTACAGTGCTGTTGAAATGTAAAGGCTGATAATTTCTTAAGAAACTGTTTGGCGCTGCGTCGGTGGGGGTAACCAAATAATTTGAATATATCAACAAAGTTGAAATGGTGAATTGGCCACCGTTACGGTTAATTATCTCTGGACAGAGTATTTAAATTCTATTCAAGTTTTGTCTTAACACTCTCTCATAAGCAGCTACAATGTAGCTGATCCAGTTACAGATGCTCTTTCTGCATTCTAAGGATGCTCACTGTTAGGATCTTTTAAGATCTACATGTATTCAATAATATATGGTAAAGATTTCAGGATGAGCATGTATACTTTACTGAGCTGCTCTAGCCATGATGCAGAGTATATGCTACAGCTTCATTGTTATTGGGCTGAAATTTGATTCAAAATATGAGACTTTTACTTGCTAGCTCCCTGCGTTCATGAGCAGGACGCTTAACCTTCACACTCCCAAGATCTCATGAGCAATTCTCCTTACTGTCTGCTATACAATTCTTATGATTATAGTTCAGAGAATTTTGTATTGGATCAACAAATAATCCCCTGTTCACTCCCACGAAGGGCTAACGCTCAAAACGTCAGCTTTTATAATCATAACGGTGGCCAATTTACCATAATAATCCCCTAATTGATATAGGCCATTGCAGAAACGTGAGAGGACTGGGACGAGTTTGTT